TTAGATATGTATGGAAAAGAAAAGAAAACTTTGAATCCGTCTGTAAAGTCGTTACTGTTTGAGGTTATCTTGCCGTGAACGGAAAGACAGCTTATATACTAGGATCGTTGTACATAGAAACTATGATGATAAAGTATACTCAGTAGCATTTAAGTCCTTGTTTGAGCGACAACGGAAAAGATTAAAACTTTACCTAAACTTGATTTTACAGTCATAGATACATTCTGTGTGAAGAGAGACCTTTCTCATATTAGTTCCAGCTTTTTGGATAATGTTTCGCCTGCTCTCAGACCTCTGTGTCAACTGTGGCGATTTTGTAGTGATAGATTATTTGCGATCTGCCATTGAGAGATGCTTTCGGTTTTGTGCCACATTCCACCCCAACCTCCTTCTCATCCGCCTGTGTTCTTCAAATGATACTGTGTGGATACTTGTGGTAGGTGTAGCCTCCTTTGCAGGCGTACGGGAGCATTCGGCGTTTCTTTTTTTGGGGAGGGGTTGCATGTTTTCTGGTCGCACGTAGATATCACAAGCTTAAAACTCTGGCCGCCTTCCCTGTTAGTATTACGTCTTCCATGCGCTCTGAGCGTCTGAGATCTACGTGTGTACGTAAACTAACATTTAGGTTCAGGTCCGGATTCAAGTCCAGAGGTCCGGACTTACCTAAACCCATGGCATATACAAAATTGCGTGTTGCCAACCTTGCAATGTTGTCCGGGCAAAACTCAGGCCACATAACATGGGGGCCGATACTTGACGATGCCCGATGGCAATGTTTTCTTCATTTTGCAGCACATATTTTGCGATCTATGGATGGTTTTAGGTGGTTTGGAACGAGAAGGGGTATGTGATATGTTGGTTTTGTTGGCTAAGTTCGGAAGTGGTTCCCGATGTTTAGGTTTTTGGACTTGAACCTAAACGTTTTTACAAGTCCGGAACATGCCCAGCGAACCGGTACACAGCACTATCTAAGTGCGATTAGAAAACTTGAGTTGAAACGCAGACCTCTCCCGGAACGCCTGCACAGGAGGTTATATAGTTTTGGGCTGGCGGACGTGTGTGCCGGGAGACAGACGGAGCGGTGTGGGTAAACGGACCGGTTTGGGGGAGGGTGAGATGTTTGGTGACAGAGATACCTGGCATGCCAGCAGCGTTACTCTATCAACACCGGAATGGTCTTCTTCAGGACCTGGCAGATGGACGTACATAGAAGAAAAAGAACTTTATTGCACGACAAACGTCCAAGGGTTATATAGGTGTAACAAGTCGTTTGGTGTAATGTAGCCAGCCGCCGCCGCGCCGCGTGCCTGCGAAGCTGGTGTGTTACACCGAACGGCGGTTATACCGGCTACAACCGATACAGAATTGTACGAGTACATGGTACAATGTATGGCAACGGCTATTGAACATAGCAAAAAGAGAATGGTGAAAATGAAACTTAATATCCTAGTTACTACACCATGACATATAGCACAATGTTTTGTTATGTTGTCATCAATTGAAAGTGAGATTAGGCCATGTTGATGTGATTATATGGATGCCATCCTCTGGGAACTCCAAAACTTATGCGAGCATGTGGATAGAAAAAAAGTTTTGCAAAAACAAAAATTCCTTCATTATGAAATCTACGTGGTCATGAAGGTCATGGTATGGGGAATAATGTACTCTTCATTTTCATTTCTTCACATTTTCTTCTTTTTCCTTTGGGATTGGTTTTGGCATTCTACGACATTAGTATCGTTTTCGAAATACATTTTGTGCAATGTACCGTATTACAACATGTATTTTCTCATTTTCAGCTGTATTGTATTGTATAGGCAAAACATTTTTTTTTCAAACGGACGAAAATCCATGCGCGCGCGGATGTCAGCCATATGATCAAATCAACATGGGGGGGGGGGCATAATAGCCCATGTAACATAATTTCGAATTCATTCCCAGGGCTAATTGCAAGAATATTATCAACTAATAGTAAACAGTAATAATGACCATAAAATGGTACTTGAAATGCTACATAAGGGCGTGCATCTGTAACTAACTGTAGGGCGTGCTAAGAAGGTCTCGTGTTTATATTTACTCTTCTGTGTTGAATTTGTACGCTACTAATGTCTTGTGCAAACAGCTTTAGCAGTCCCAATCAATTATGTATCATTTCAATCACGCCAAGCGTCAGGTCGGCTGTTGACAAGAAGTCTTTTCCATCCTACTTCTCCCACTCTTAACTCTGTTGACTTCCGGATGCTTCAGATAAACTGTCGTTGGAAACTTCAGTCCGATGTTTTTAGACGATAAGACGTGGTGATGGAAAGAAACAGTAGAACATATATCGCAGAGGAAGAACAAAGTGGGCCGCAAAAGTCAGCACAGGTGACGGGGGAGGAATGCTGTTGCTAAGACAAGTGCGCTTGTTTGTTGTACCAGCCACACAAGCGAGCTATTGATACATGCGAGGCTCATGTAGTACTTCTGTCACTCGCCACGACAGCACTTGCCATAGACACACATTTGCAGATGAGAGAAGGTTTGGTTTGTAGCAGCTACCTATTACTGCGGAGTGTACCCAGCCAGGGGGAATATGAACTTAAGGAATTAGGAACAAAAGTGGGACAATATTTGTCGGCTATAGAAGAAACTTCCTGGCTGACTCGCTGTCCAAACCGTACCTCCCCGGTGTCTTTGTCCGGAGGGGGAGGGACAGAAAAGGTGGTTTGACTTGGCGTGACTGGACAAAGTGGATATTTGGTAGGAAATAATGATGTAACAAAATGGTTCTCACACTTAAATTCAGCTTCAAGAAGGCGTACCGAATAAACCTAGGCTGCTGGTCTGACGCCGCCGCGTACGTGCCACACAGACACGTCTTGGGATAACTTTTATTTTCCTGCATTTCTGTTAAAATTCATACGTTATTTGCCTATATTATTTCATTAAGTTAGTCCGTCGACTGCCCTATTTTATTGTGTATCAATAATGATTGCTTTTTGCTCACTTTTGTATCATTTTAATTACAATGTATGATGTGTTAGAATTAGCAACATTAAATTATAACATTGAAGTAGAAACGTTAACCCTAGATAGATCTCTGTTTTCTCCGCCGCATTCATCATTACATGTACTACATAGTGAGTTGTCCTGGGCCTGTTTTTATGTGCGAACAACAAATCAACAAATGAAAGGGTAAGATTCTAACGTGTCCACACACATATACAGTGCTTTTCCATCCTGTAGTATGCGTGCAGATAAATCTTTTTCGGCTCTTTAAACCCCTGTTATGAATTGAGATGGGATATTCCACAAACTCTCACATGTGTAGTTACTTATGGCATCTGTGTCTGTATAGCCGGTAAAACCGCCCCCGGTCGGAGTAACACACCAGATTTTCAGGCATGCGGCGGCAGCTAGCTATATTACACCGAACGACTTGTTACACCTAAATCTAAACATCGTTTGAAGCTATCTAGTTTCCTTACAGTATTTGGTGACAGCGAGTTCCACTCTGCGAAAGTTCTAGAAAAAGTGTTTTTGAACACCTCAATCCTTGGTTGATGTACTTGTTCTTCTCTGCCGTATTAAGTACTTGTACACAGCAACATTGTATGTACGTTATGGGACAACCGTTTAGTTTCTGATCCATAAGCTTAAACAAGGTACGTTAAAAAAACTGACATATAAAGTTATGATAATTGAATCGTGATAATAATGATTGAATACTCCGATCCGGCTAACGTACATGTTTAGTGTTACATGGGGGTAAAATTCATGTTATAAGTCTATAAGCTTCCTTTACATTAAGAAATGTATTAAGCAAAATATCTAAAGCTTCTTTGCACTTGATTTGAACTTGAACTTTTGGAGCTGATTCAGAATTAAGAAGATGTGTCTGAGACGTGGTTTGAAGTATGATATATTTGGTAATGTCGTTAAATTGTGGGAATTTCTTATTTCACTTCTTTCATTCCAGGTAAAAAGCAACGAGCCATGTGCCATTCATGCTAGAGGGCCCGTGACGATATATTTTCTATATACTGAAAACGTCGACAAAAGAATGTTCTTCAAAAGGCAGACTTTTCATCATAATTGCTGTGTTTTCTCAGGTCTCTCGGTGAATAAAATGTACCGAAAAAGTTGCCCGATGATCTGAATTGTACTCTTCAAGGAGAGGTTTAGTCTTGGGCTTATTTTTGACGTGTTTTAGCCATTATATTGGGCTTTCTTTTTGTACTTTATAGTATCTTTTTACACCAACCTAGGGTGGCAAATGGTAACTGTCTGGCAACTTTGATACTGTCTTCGCAGCCACCAAAAAGACCTGCTTGGAGATTACCTGAAGCAATCCCTCCTACATTCACCGACTCACATGTGCAGTCTACGGTCCAGGGCCAAACATCGGTCTAAAAAGACGCCCAGATACACAACTGTACGGTACATTTATGAAAAATAATGCGTGGCAGGAGAGCGTGTATAAATATCCTATGACAGCCATTGTTCCAGTGTACAACTGACACCGCTGGGGAAAGGCAGTGCGGAGCGGTACATGGAGGCAGCGGAGCCGGAACGACTTACTCAACACCCGGTCCGCCAACGGGCTGCACCTTAATGGCATCTAGTGCGGTTTTTAGGGCTTGGAAACCATATTTTTCTATATTCATAAGTAAATATCCTAGTCACTTATCTACATATCAAGTTGAAGCAATACTGTCGCAATGTATATCGGCATTCATGGAGCAAAAATCCCCAAAGTTCTGACGAAAAACGGTTACTGGGAGGACCTGGATTGATTTTTAGGGTACCACCCAGAAAATAAAGGACTCATCTTGGGGCTTGTTTCTTCTAGTTCTAAATGCCTAAAGTATGAAATACTGATTGAAATGTGATAATTTAGGACAGTATGTGTCAATGCCATACAGATTTGCCTTATTCAGAATATTTCCAGTTCTGCCGCCCTGAAATTGCATTGGATCCCTTTAAGTCTTGCATTTCCACACAAGTAAACGACTAGGTTTCAACATTTGTCACATTTTAATATCACTCTTGACAAATTCTAGCTTCTTAAACAGTTTTTTCTTGGAATAAAAGAAAACAACAGAAATACCACGTTGGAATCATCTCTTAACTACAGGTACATAGGTTTTTATCATTTGGAGAACGATTCAAATTATATTCTGCAACCATTAAACATCTTTATAACAATCAACATGATTGAAAAGAACGGAAAATGAAACAGATTAGCGTGTTACTGCCGATAAATGCGAAATAAAGACTTAAGACAAAGACGACAAAGATATTTAAGCACATACATGTAATAGGGTCAATGGCCATGTTGTTTCGTGCAAGGGTACTGAGAAGACATTAAGACTTGCATAGCAGGTCAACAATCAAAATTGCAAACACTGCACCAGAGATCTGACAAGTTAAGGTAAAACTTAAAGAGGAATCTGACGGGTGATGGCCACATCAGTGGGCACCATTGCCGAACACAAGTCCAAAATTGTCAAAACACATCCATTACTTCAACCGAGTGTCAATCATATCAAGTAACAATCTTTGGAAAGTCAAAGAATCACTTAAGAAAGATTAAAAATGTCCGTTGAAGTATCTCATTCCTGGAATACTTTATTTACAGTGTAGTGTAGTTACCGTCGCAGTCCAGATTATTTGTTGTGGCCGGTATCCTTCTCTTCTTGCGGCTTGTGTGAGGTGAGTGTAGCAGCGGGAGGGGCGCAGGCCGTCCAGGGAAGCCACAGTCTCGCTCCTGCTAACTCAGTCCCGGGGACGGACGGTTTCCCTGCCGGGGACACGAACGGTGCGAGGCCGCCCATGGCCATGGAGAGGGTCTGCGTGTGGTCGGAGGGGAGAGGCCTAGACGTGCCGTCTAGCACGGGCACACGGCCGGGGGGAAAGAGGTTGTACGGTCGACCCAGAAGTGCGTCCACTGAAAACGGAGTTAAGCGGGGTGAGAAGAGGAACTGTGGCGGTTGGTGTGTCGTAAAAGGAGAGAAGGCAGATTTGGTCTCTTCGTGTCCGGCCGTGTTTCCCGGTGGACGGAACGCCGTGCCGCCGCTACTGCCGGGGAGAGACAGCCCTGCCTCGGCAGGTTTGTTAGGGATGCCCGGATAGCTGGCTAGCACCGCTTCGTTGGCATTCAGGAAATGTTCTATGGCTTTGACAAGGTCGCCGTTGCATCCTTGCAACACAAGGTCCAACACACTTCTCTTCTGCAGTGGGAAAATACGCTGTAGGATCTCGATAGGGCTGAGTCTGCCGGGCCGAAAGCCGGCAGAGACTTCTGAACTGTCCGAGCCGAACTTGGCGCTGAAGGCGGTGGTGTCGCCGCTGCCTGGCGAGGCCCTGCGTGCCTGAGTGCCGCTTCTGTCAGGGGACACTTCGTCCTTCTCACTGCAACTGTCGTCTGTGTTGCCGCTGCTCTCTCTGCCATCTGTGGAAAGATAAGACACCTATTGATACCTGCAGCCCCTAATCTTTTGAGCTAAAATATTTTAGACTTATAACTTGTGCGCCAAGAACGTACATCTAAACGTAGCGAAGCACAGTTCGCAGCCACACGGCAGATATGTACTGCACCTCCTTAAATCAAGTTAGTCCTGTCCTGACCGTTTTGTTACGTTTATAATATTTCTTATGTTAAAGATTTAAGATAGTAAACGTTTCAACGCTGTGATGTATTTGTATAATTTTTCGTAGTTTTCGTTTAAGCAATGGTATATTACAAAGATATAACGGTTCTCTGGATTAGGTTAATGTATTGGTTAGTAATCTTTCTTACCATAAAAGATTTAGACCTAGAGAAAATTTGACAGAAGTCAGTCGCCCTTTCCAATGACTGGCACCTTACATTAAGGCACATATATGGATACAGAAGTCGTGACTCTTTCCAATAGCTAGTAGCTATTAGGACCTTACCGTCGTCCCTGTCAGGTCCGTCTGTGTTGTTGGGTTCATCAGGCTGCGAGTCTGGCCAGATCGGGCCCGGCGGCAGGTAGCCCGGGGAGCAGGCCCGTAGGCCCATGGCGATGGCGTCCTCCGCCGCCTGCTGCCTTTTAAGAGCCACTTGTGCGGCCATCACACGCTGTCTCTCCGCGATAAGGTTGCATTTGGGACAGGTGCAGTCCCGGTACCTGCAGTGGCGTTTGTGACCCTTCAGCCAGCTGACGATACCGTGGTTCCGACAGCGGGCACACTTGGGCCGCCTCGTGCCCTTCTCCGTCATGGGGCGCAGCAACAACCCGCTGTTCATCATCACAACACGGGCATACACCACCGTCACCAGTGGCCTAGACTGTTTCCTAATGTCGAATGTATCAGTCTTTACGCCGCTTCTTACCCAGGATTGTGTCAGCCCACCCAGAATGCTACAGCTTCTAGCCAGCTTTGTGTTGAGGCCACAATTGATTGACGAACAGGAGAAAGCTAACCTTACTGGCCTGAAATACGCTCCCTTATTGGACAAAGGATACTCACGCTTGACAGCCAATCTAAATGTTGAGTGACACCAAAGGCCCTAGTCATCAGTACTAAAACAAACTCCCCTCAGTGAGCACACAAACTGTTGGTGCAAGGGGCGGGATTGTAAGGACACGAGTGCTGTGCTAACCTTAGAATTAGAAAGGGAAATCGTCATCAACACTTACTGTCCCCTTCATTTGGGGTGTGGCACACACAAATAGTGAAATCAAGTAAAACATTATGGCAGCTCAAATCATGATCTTCAGTTCGAGGAACGACCCAAGAGAATAAGTGCGATGTATAGCTAGGCACAATTTTTCAACCTCAGGCCTGTGGATTTAGATCCGGTTCATACAGAAATGAATTATTCGGTTTGGGCGTCAAATCGTTTCAAAATTCATCCAAGCGATCAATTTTTTGCAGTGTATGTGGACACTCCAAATCGGTTAAATTTTTCCGAAACGGTTACAAAGTAAACCGCTTTGAAGAGGTATTTGAAGACGACGTCTGTGGCGAATTCAATTCGGCCGAAGTGTCTTGGCTTCGAACTTGATTCAGTGGTGTGTCTCAAACAGCCAAGACGATCGGGTTTTGTGTGATGCTGTGGATACATAGTCTGTAAAGAATGAATAGAAACCCGCAGTAACCTGTTTATTTCCAAGGTACAAACGTTACGCTCAATTGGAATGGCGAGTGGAATCTTTTCAGTGAATTTTGATGACCAATAATCCCCTTCCTAGCCTATAGCTAGTGTATGAGAAATTGTTACATAGTTTTGACGCTTTAGCCGTAGTACTAGTGTGTTAAGCCGATGTGTTACGCCGAAGGGTGGATATACTATACCGGCACAGTATACAGATACAGTATTTCTGTATGGACATAACACACCAGTTTCGCAGGCACGCGGCGCGGCGGCAGCTGGCTATATTACACCAAACGACCTGTTAGTGTTACACCTGGCCTTTATACATCTAACTCTAAACATTGTTTAAAGCTACAAATATGTAATGATGATGCCCCAACTGCACTTTGGATAGTCTTAGGAAAGAATGACTTTTTGAACACCTCAATCCTTGGTTGATAACTCTGGTACTTGCAGGCATGACTATTTCTTGTTCTTTTCTGATATGGTATATGAGCTACTATGACATTGCCTGTTTACACAAAAGTTGACTAGGAATTCAGTGGAACTCCAGGTACACTTGCACATGCAATGTCCACCACTGTACATTGCCCCCTATCGGGCGAAGTTTGCACTGCAGGACTGCTAAAACTACAGCGGATGAACCAAATGCTTAACTGCAGGAACACATACACCTAAACAATACTCGTTGTATGTAATACATTGTAATCAATAACAACTCGAATGAGATGGACCAAAATCAAGTTTCTAATATTTGTGTTGGGCTTATTTATTTTTCACACAGTTAAACATGGTAGGTACAATGTCCATTTATTTAATTAATATATACACAAGTGAATATGTATATCAATATGGTTGACAAATATGGTTATGTGGTTGACTTTAACTATAATGAAAGTTTGTCTGTGTTGGTATTTAAAACTTTTGTTCCAACACAAGAGATTGCTCTCAGCTCTCACCTACAGCTTTCGACTAGTCACTCTGGTCTTCCTCAGTAGACAGACCCAGTGAGGCTTGTCATGTGGCTTCTCTGAAGTGTGACCACAACACTGGGTCAAAGGTATCTGGTATCTGTTTGAGTTTATCTTGGAAATTGACTTCAGCTAATTAAGGGCCTATCATTAGTATGCTACTTGATAACTTGGTTTCCTCAGTTCTTGATATATGTCAATAAAATACACCATTACTTTCCCACTATTCCTAACCATGAGAAAACAACTTTACTCCTAAAATCAAAGAACCCACATATCACAGAAGAAGTGGGTAAATTCATCTTCCAGAAGTTTCACTGTCTCATCAGAAGAAGTCCAACCCAACAAAACTGGTACCATATATGTTGTATAGTAGGAGGGATTTATACTCCTGTCTGAACATATATATGAATGTAATTGAGTAAGAATTAACAGAGGAGACCAAATGCAAAGGTAAACATTATGCATTTGCTTTGCAAATGTTACCTCTCTAGTATTATATCATAATATGTATGTTGCTTATAACGTTACTTGCAATTAGCCCTAGGGCATGTTTTTGCAATAAACTATTTATCATCATCTTGATAAAAATGGCAGGTCCCTGTTCAGTCAGTCTTCTTCCCTACTTGTCTTTCTTCTCAGCTGGATCCCCTGTTACATTTCCATTGGATAGGGGACATCTTGGAGGAGTTTCAGTTTCCTAAATGGATACAAGAAAGAGTGTCACAGCAGTCACTTTGAACCTAATGCCACACGAAATTATTTTTTGGTTCTCAAAATTACAAAATTTACAAAAAAGTAATTCACCACAGCAGACAGGTTTACCTATTGTGTGACGTGTGGATGGTGTTCAGCACCAGGGACAGATTCAATTGTACTATATGTATGGTGTTTAGTACCAGGGACAGAGATGTGTATGTGGATGGCATTCAGCACCATAAAGATGTGTGTTTGTGTGCAGATGGTGTTCAGCACCATGGACAGGTGTGTGTTTAGAGATGGTGTTCAGCACAGGAAGTGTGGATAGTGTTCAGCACCAGAGAGTCAGAGGCAAGTGTGTGGATGGTGTTCAAAACTAGGGGTAAGTATGTAGTTGTGTATACATAGATCACGTTCAGCACTAGGGACAGGTCTCTGGATGGTGTTCAGGCCCAGGGGCATGTGTGTGGTTGTACAGATGGCATTCAGTTCCAGGGACAGGTCTGTGAAAGGTTTCCAACACCATATGGGCATGTGGATGGTGAATGTGTAGATGGTGTTCAGCAACAGCTAGTGATACGTATGTGTATGGGCATATGGATGGCAAATGTGTACATGGTGTTCAGCAACAGTGATATGTAATGTGTATAACTACAAATGTATATATATATAAGCAGAAGGAACTTCCAAACCCACCTGGATAGACTTAGTTGGCTGGCTGGAGGGAAAGATGCCAGGCAGGAACTTGGATAACAGAGGTTCCACGATGGGCCTGAGGAAGCGGTGGTACACCCACAGCAGTACAGGTACCACGATACATGCGATACACACCATACTGCAGGACTGTACAGGCTGTCTGGAAATACAACAATAAAGACACTATCAAGGGGGCACACCCTGGTTCACTTTGAGTCCCAGTCTGATGCTGCACCCTCAAGTGAATGAGGGTGACTGCTGATGGCTTGTCATTGTGCCACAGGCTCCCCCCGAATTTGAAATCTCAACCCGGCCTCATAGCATTGTAAGGGGCAAAATGCGCAAATCTTGCTGGTGCGCCAAGCTAAGTTATATCTGCAACCTTTTTCAACCTGGGATGTTACCTCATCAAAACATACTAGTACTAGTAAATTATTCCTTAACCGTGGTGACTCAGGAGGCTGCTTTTAACAATTTGTATGAATATATTGTTTTACAGATTTGTAAAAGCGGCTAGCTGAGTCGCAACGGCTAGCTTTCATTTCTCCAAAACACCACCCTCCAACTGCCCCCTCCCCCCCCCAAAAAAAATTACGCAAAATGCTCAGAATATTTGGGGTAGAATCCGTCAACAATGATTTTGCTTTGCGTAAAGAACTTGAAGTGAACATTACCTGTATGTAGCTCTGCAGGTGACTAAGAAACGTTGTTGTCTACCTTTAAATCATTAATCACACAGGATCGGGGAAAAATACTGCGTCAGACTGCAAAAACTCCGGTGCGAGACCGCCCAGCTGCGCTGTGACGTCACGGACTTCTCTCGACCAATGAAATCTAAGGGACTGTACGCTAGTATTTGCAAGTGGAGGTGGGTAATCCAAGCAGATGTCTGGCGGCAAAGGCGTTTCAGTTTAACGGTACAACCATCCTATATATGCAGGCAACATTTTATCCGCCAAAACCACAGATTTCTAACAGTCCTTGTCACTTATTACAGGCTTAAAAGTAGTGGCAGCAACATACACTGTATGGGGAATGTATTGACTGCTTCTAGATGTAACAGGCAATCATACTGAGGAAAAAGTTTAGCTTCATATAATAGATACGGGCAAAGTTAACGCTACCTACCCTTATGTATGCACTAACTTAAGTACTTTAAGTCTGTAAAAACTGTCAAATACAGCAAAAAAGCTGAAACGGTTGCTTGCTCAATGAAAACTTCAGGCGTCTTTGCCACTTTTACAGCCCATCAATTTCCTAGTCACTGGATCTTACTAACAGTATATGCTAAAGACTCCAAGTCTGGTTCTTTACTGTTCAATTGACTGTCTAACCCTGAGATTCCTTGAGTATCTATATTCCAATTACAGTACATAAACTTGCAAAACTTTCTATGGCAACAAGCCGTTACTTTCAATAAACCAGTTCTTGCAGAAAAAAAAACAAATTATACCATCATCCTTCACAAAAACTCACTTCCCTACAGTTCTGCATAAACCAGCAAAAGAACATGGAAGGACCTCTATTTATGTCCATGTTAAACAAATGATTAAGATACAAACAAGCAGCACTTCGAGTGTTTTTTAATATCTATCTTAACATCAACAAATGTCTTTGAAGCAAATTAAGAAATAATGTACGTTATACTTAAAATGTTAGCAGAGAACTTGTACCACAAACCTTGCAACATGGTATATTCCAGTTTTTTACGGATGTTTTGTTTACTTGAAGCATGTCTGTCCAATAGACAGAATGGCTAACACTTTTACCTCAATGCGTGGTACATAAACATACATTATAAACAGACATATAAAAGACATAAATACTACATAGGACCAGACGTAACAGTGTCAAAAATGCTCTAAGCACTCGACTTCAAGTCTATAATGTGCAGTCTCACAAAATCATGTTCAGTGCAAAAATATGTTGAATAACACCTGAAATATGTTAAAAAACTTGATAAAGCAACAAACTTGTGCATGTGGATCTATGATAAATGAAGAAATAAGTACGTAGGTCCTTGAGTTCAGGTTGATCTAACGTATTAGTCTTGTCTCTCAGCCGAGGTTGGAAACCCTTGTTGCAAATTAAAACATTTCTACACTAGTTGATTGAATAAATGAATGTGAATCAGACTATGTCTAGCTCTTGGTGGGAGACTCAACTAAAACTGAGAATTCTCTCAGCATCATAAAAAATATTGTAAGTTTAAAGAAAACGATGCTGGGTAAACTTGTAGCTGCATGGTTCATTTTTTATCAATCTAACGCCCATTGTACTGGCTGACCAACTGACTTGGACCTTGTATCACACATTGTCCAGTCTGAATCAAGTCAACTTGACTGAATGTTAAGTAAGGTACATGTTAGTTACTAGTACAAGGTATGGTAAAATGTCACAAGCTGCGTGTACATATACATGTAATATTCACATTCAGGAAGCAAAAAGAAAGATCAATTTGAAGTGACCTACGGGCACTACAACTTTTGCTAAATCATGTTTTTTTCTTTCTTTTCTTTCCCATCCATGATTTCTTCTAAATGTAGATGGCAGCCCTCACTGATGGCATATTGATATTTCAATAGACTATGTTTACTTCTTAATTAATTCTTCTTCATCTTTGACAGCATCTGAAGCTTTTGTGGTGACAGTGTACTTGGAACACATTCTCATTAACAATATCGATGAATCATTCCAAGCCATAGCAAAACAAGACAAAAAATTTTGCTACATTCTTTGCTATCATTGCCTGAACAATTACAACTGATCTTTAGTAAGATAATTTTGGTTCCTACATATTTTCCTCCTCAGATATAAGGCTGTGAATGTCTAATAGTAATGTTACCGATCGGACTACAATTAATAAAAGCCTATATTTCTTCCTGTAGAACACTTCTACTGAAGCCTTATCTTTACATTGTTTCCTACATGACCTACTGACTGGTAAAACATACATGTATCTTTATAAACGAGTTAATAATGTACAATCTTCCTTATGCAGCCTACTCTGCGTCGTGTTCTGCAGTTGACTTTATCTTCTGCTGAACCGCTGGCTGCGACTGCGGCTACTGCGGGACGTCCGACGGAGGAACTCATCGCAGGCCACTGCGTGGGAGTGGGAGTCGTACTGCAATGGGAGGACACAAATCAGGTTTGTTTAATGTAGCTGTGGACCCAACAGTTTCTCAACATTTCCAACATCTCAGTCCAGCTGTTGTCAACTTTATCAATAATAAGACAGCTAGATGTACATATATGACAGACAGAAATCTGCTATGAAAAAATCCAGATGTTCAGCACCATGGACTATATATCAAGTATGTTGATGAAGATAGACATCAAGGTAATGAGATATACAAGGAATTATTACTCAAGCTACTGGATACATGTCAGGCATTTCAAGTAGCATCCACTCCTTTTTGTCAGTGACTAACAGAATCTGTAGTTGAACACCACTTGAAAATTCTGATTTCAAACCTAACCAGTTGCTTGAGTAACAATTCCTTGTACATATTAAAATACTGAAATGGGAAAAGAAATATCAAAGGTACAACACCATTCTCTTCTCTTTGTAGCCTCTGTCTTCTCTGTGTGGCCCTGCATAGTCCTGAACACGTCTGTCATGATGTAGGGTAGCGTGTGGATAGCCTCCAAATGACGGATCTATTGGGTGCTGATGTGGTGGCTGGGAAGACAACATTTAATCAATGTTTGATAATCATCAGTTAATGGCAATTACAAAACTAGAAAGGTAAAATTTGCAACGCAAATGCACAAAGTTTACCTTCACATATGGTCTGCTCTGTTAATTCTTACTCAAATACATTCACATATATGGTGACAGGAGTCTAAATCCCTCCTGCTATAAAACTGCAACATGTAGCCCAACACCAGTTATCATGGTGACAGACGGTCTGGTTCAGGTCATTGACCAGGTCAGAGGTCAGTGTTTGGAATGGAAGCAGAAACAAGAGCAAAAGCAATGTTTTCCTTTGGTAAGACTTACTGGGTCTCTGTTCTTCCTATTTCTTCTAAAATTGACTTGTTTAATGAATGTGCAAATAAACGATGAACAAAACTGTGCCCTGACTTGTCCATGGACACTATGGGCTGCATTGGAATTACTCACAGGTCCAGGGTAGGGTGGCATTGCCATAGGTGGTGGTCTGGTAGGTGGATACATCTCATGCATGTAGTCTGGATAGGACTGAAAGAATACAAAAAGGTTGAACTTTTCTGTTTCAGTTAGGCAATCTAGTGATATGCCACTGAGCTCTTGCTAAATAGCTGTTTCTACACTCAACAACCTCTGCATTTGGTCCACTGAAAAAACAGAGCCATGTGGACTGTTTCTTCTTGCATACAATACTCAATAGCTGTCCTTGAATACTCTCCCTCTAGACGTCACTTTGTGTGCATGAGGCCACTAGGGTAGTGTAAATTTATACCAGTCCTTACTGGTACATAGTGATTCAGTATTTTAGACCTAATTGATTTTCACGGTACTGTGTACCAGTACGAAGCCCTGGGTCATAGTGTGTTTAGAGTGACACTGTATGATTCTCAGAATTCAGTGGGACCAAGTTCATGATAGGGTGTTTCTAACACTGCCTATGGTGACATGTGGAGTGTTTGTGTGTAATATTTTATTATATATTCATACTTTTGAAACCACAAGGACAATAACTCACCCCATTAATCATGGCCTCTCGCCGCATACCGTGAAACCGAGGCCTAGAAATGATCAACGGAGGCTGTTAAACATTACATTAATTTTCATGAGTTTTCATCCAGAAATATGCAGAAACACACTTAAAACAATATCTCCACTTTTCATGGAGGTAACAACCATCTTTCCTCAGTCCCTTGAGTGTTTGTTTTGACCAGGTTTGATTGTATAAATGCCATGTGATGAAGTCAACCTTATCAGGATTACTGACCTGTCCTCTGGTCTACCACGATGATCCTTGTACCCTGTTGACAAAAGTCAGAAATTCAATAACTTTACCCTCTACCAGCTGACAATGTAACCGATACAATACTGGTGCATAGTTATCCTTATCATGTGATTTCTTACTTTATTTATTTATCTTGAGGACATGACAGACATAGGCATAAGAAAATGGATATCACCGAAGTTCAGAATCTGTCTCGACAATTCTATGCCAAACTGTTTTATGGGAAACCCATGGAAAATCAGCCCTCTCTTGAACTGGCATGGCCTAAGCCAATCTCAGCATTGGTAACTTCTTTAATTTTTTTAAAAGCTGCATTATGTAACATTAGAATGATACAGTGTGGAAGTAGAGGAAATTTACAAATACAGCTATCAGCCATGTTTGTTTACATTCTGATCGTTTGTCTAGCTGTTACATTGTTTTTTGGCTGTTACATAATGCCCCTTTAACAACTCTCAGTCTTTTCACCCCAATACATTTTCCTGTCTCCTCCGAAAAATCAAACAGCCCTAAAATCTACAAAATACACACATGATAAATACTACATTGAGTTACATGTAGTCCTCAAAAGGCCTTGCATGTACTTCACATCATAATTGCACTTAATAAACATTGTATACAGTACAGTTGCATGGTAAAAAACAACATAATGGAACCTGGGCCATAATATTCTCGGCGAAAGCGCTTTCTTCTTGCTTCTTCATACTCCATGTATCTCCATCTTCTGAAGCACAACATAACAACTTGGTTACATCTACAAGAACGAAGATAATCAAACAAGCCAGCTATGCAACCATCATTGCTGGATCTACACGTACCTACATTTTGTATGTGTGTTTCACATCATCTTTATTGAATTGAGAACAATTAAAACATTAGACAAGATGAAGGGTTAATAAACACCTCGGTCACATTGATCTAGGTTAACAGGTACTATTATACCAAAAATGTCATGGGAACTTCCTTCTTCGGCTTCAAAGAAACTGGATTCAATTTGAACTTTTAAATTTGGGGTTACATAACCAGAAATTTGGCATATACTAAGAGTGGGCAAATACCCATTTTCTTATTTTCTATTTATATTCATTTATTTCTGTGTTTTTACATTTTTACCAGGGTGGCTATCTTGGTGACTAGGCACTTCTTTTCAGAGTAGCCCTGGGATACATGTATACAAACATTATGCTACAATATATACAAGAAGAAAATTGTACATCAAAACCAAATTCGTTGTCCATACTCAAATTCATGCCAGGTCAATTGTTGGAGAGTTGAAAAAATGAATGCATGCTGCTACATGTTGAACCTGTACCAAGGGAATTATCACGTACAGGGCAACTTCATTATGCAGGTTAGTGCAGGTAATATTTGCGAAGTTGCGAAGATATTTCCGTTGTCTACCTGCACATAGCCTGCACCAGTCCATGTAAGGGACCTGAAACTTAATAGGAATTTTTGTTTGTACCCCAAGTACTGTGTAAAATGTGACACAAAGAATTGGAACCAAGTTGTGCTGGTACAATCCGGTGTAGGTGATTTGAATGTTACCCACACCAGTACAGTTATAGGATCTCGAAGTGAGCACTGTCATGGCAATTTGCTACTCATCATCTATAATTAGGACAAAACCAGTGTGCAATGGTAGCTTCACGAAGTTTGCTGGAATAAAGGACTGTTCTTACATACATAGGTGGATGAATTAAGCAGACAGGGTACCAGGGTTTATACTTACCTTGGATATGTAAATTGTGAGATCTTCTCATAGGACAGGGTCTGCCGATCAGATAACATGCCCATTCTAACACACTAAATGTCATGTCAAACTGTAGTGGCATCCAAAGAAAAAGAAAAAAACATACCATTCTGACGATATCACTGATGGCAAAGCCCTTAATGCTGAACTGATGTCTCTAAGGGATAATTCTCAACAGTCTGTACTGGTACCAATGTGGTGTTGTGGAAGGCACTGTCATTTGTAGTACTGCAGCCCAGTAAGGGCATTTGTCAGTCTTTCACGAAAGGGGAACAGTCCAACAAACGCGGTTTGGCCCAACTGCTTGCTGCAGATTGACTGGGCTTTGCTGCCACAATCCGCTGGGTTTCCAGACTAAACAAGTGCACTGAATTCCCACATGGATTCCTGTGTCATACCATAAATGGCATGAGGCAGGAACTCTACACCAAAGTCTGCATATTGGGACAGTTCTGGGAACTTCAACAGTAAGCTGAGGCCTCACCCACCAATGTCAAGCAATGGTTTAGAGAACATTGGCTCCACATGCAAACTGGTATTGGTCCACCACGGTCCTACCCAGGAAAATACTCTTCCTCCACTACGTACTGCCTGCGACTACAAACGCTTGCACACTCGCACAGGGACATCACCAGCAACATAATCTCTCCTGTGAGGAAAGACCTGAGGTACAGGAATACACATTGTGTACATTAATTCTCCCTGAGCAGAAGGATTCCATACTTGAACTGCCAGTCCTCCAAGGTCCTGTTTGGAACTTGCTGACATTGTGGGCAAAAGGGATACACACACCCCCTTTGTTGTTGAAAACCTGTGAGAAGATATGTTAGTACCTACATGTATGTTCTCGCATACTGACGACTACATTGTGTACATGTAAAATGTGAGTCAAAAGGACAGAAAACAATGTACACCTTGTACTGCGTGCTTCTGCAAATGTCAAAAGCAACATTGAATGTATGATAAGCTATTGCTGTGCCTGTGTTGTGCAGAGACACAGAGTTAGCCCTTCTCGGCTGGACTGGGCATTTGGACAAAAGAGTACAGAAAGCCTGTCAGCCCAGGCCTCCACACCATCGGGGGGCAGAAGTGTGGCTGTTGGCAGCTTTCAGAATCATATTTTTTTTAAAACTTCAGCTTGGGCAAATGTAAGGTTCCTTCCAAGAAAGAATCTGGGTTATGTCCGGTACATTCTTCAGCAACATATTTTCAGTCCGAATCATCTGCATAACGGCCAGGAATTGTCCTAAGACCATCAACAGTCCAAACGCTAACCTCGAGGAAGCACCGTCGGATCGCCGTACGCGTTCTTCGCTACGTGGCACGTCGTGTCGTTTCTTTTCCCCGTAGTACTGTCTTCTGCTGCGGCGGCAAATCGCCGACAAGTCCACGTGTTCGTCAGGCGGGAACATCTGGCACAGGGCGGCGGCACAGTTGGGCTCCAACTCCTAGAACAAATATGGGAATATAGAGTTGGAGTCATGGAAACAAATCTATCTGACATGTACATGTATATATCCTGACACAAGTCCAGTTATTTTCCATACAGATACCCACCACTAGTCATGACAGAACTGTTGAAAATAGAGAAATGGTTGCCTGACTCACCTGGCCATCTCTGCCTATCTTGATGGGCTTGTTCTCATTCCATGCGTTGAACAGATGTGTGGTCTTGGTAAAGGGCAGTTCATGCCTGACAAATGGCAGAAACACAGACACACCAATGACAAAAAGTAAAGCACAAGAAAAAACAAGAATTATTTTAGAATAATCTAAAACCTTCAATCCAAAACTACACCCCGAGGCAGCACCAAAACTGTCCGGCTAAATTCTACTTTCATCAGAACTTAAAGAAAGGAAACAAAATTGGTAATAACTCAATGCATGTACACGACTGAAGTCTTTCCTGACCATTTACTTGACAGCATCGAAGAATGAAAGCTATAGTAAGAGTCTCATTTTATCATCATCAGTATCAACACATATTGAACATCACAAATGAAAAATTCTGGCCTTACCTGTTGATCCAGTCTAGTTTGATGACTCCTCCCAAAGCCTTGGCACTCAGGCCTGGAGGCAGAACCCACTGGATAGGCTTCACATCCCGACGCGACTCACTCGACATACGAGCAAAACCTGAAAAATACATCTTCTGTCAACTAACCTGAACATGTACTCTTTCTCTCTTTCTTAATGAAAATTGCAATGGCAATATTTGTGGAGCACTAGGCAGCATATTCAGTTGATAATATGGCCTCAAATTTGTCAGCTATCTGAAAACAGTTCACTGTTCCATGTGGGATAACAACATACCTTGGAATTTGCCACTCTCCTTCACAGAAAACACCAGAATGATGTTGCGGGATTCCTGTTGAACATACAAGTTACAGTCACCTGTCCACTGGTTCCAATTATTGCTAACTACTGAAACTAATTAATTAGCAACTTGAGGCCTGAAGTAAGACATGTGCAATGAGGGTGTTCTGATTGCAGTTAATTACATACACTCACCTTCAAGTACCTAGCCTTTAACAATGTCAAATGGAAATCAAAACAACTGATTCTGAAACTTGGAAGTTCAAAATCTCACCTAGTCCAGAGGTTGAAATGCTACAACTACAAGTAAGAACACTGGAAACCCCCACATTTAAGACTAGTTATACTACAAACCTTGAAAGCCTGGTTGAGCCTCATTTCATTGTTGGGAGGAGTAGACCACACACCCTGGAATAGACACACTATAACTGTTACCTGGATCATGCAAAATGTACAAAAACAGGACGTGTTGCTGCAGTACATAGGAAGGCTGCTAGGAGAGTCTCAGATGCATAATCAACCTTGACTTTTGTCTTCCCTAGATCTACCCACCTTCTAAATATCATAACATTATCGATCTATAAACACTCTCCACTTTCAGTTTGGAATGCCACTTTCCCCATTTTGACACATAATAATTCAAGTAAAATGTGTGTATAATTGACAAGTATGATGTAGGTTACTCGAGTTATTGCTGGCCAAAGTATCCAATAAGACAAAAAAGACACACCAAAAGCAATATTAAGCTTACCTTTGCTTTTGCCAGTGCCACGTTCTCATGGTTGTTACTCTTTACTAGGAAGAACCTGGCATCGCGGAACAAGTACCGAAGTTTGGAGGACTGATCTGAAGACCAGGCAGGATGTGTTTTAGCATTCAAGAATAAGCAGATACAAAAATAATTCGCAGATACAAAAATATCAGCTTAGATAGTTAGAAATTATACTAAGCCACATTTTTCTTAGGACCTTACTTTACTGGGTTTTCTATCTAACCAGTGTTACTGTGCATACAAACCTTTCTTCACTGCTTTCACACTTGATGAAGGGACCCTTGTTCTTTTTGATCTTGATGCTGCAATGCAAAACATCAAATGTATAATGTACTTAGTAGCTTGTAATCCTTTAATGTGTAACATATGTTTTGTGAGCCTACCAGAGCTTTTGTAAATTTTGTGTATTAATGATACACAAAGAAATTGTTACTCAAGCAACTGGTTAGCTTTTAGGTTTCCTTACAAGTGTATCTTATTACATTGATGTCTAACCTTCATTTACATAAATGACTTCTACATTTTACAAAATCTATGCATGGTGATAGTCATGTTGGTGTGTTACACTGAGGGGCAGTTATACCAACCTATACAGATACAGGCAAGGAACACTATTATTCCTGGAAGTACATGTACTAACAACTAAGACATCAAACAGAAAAGCATTTTACAGTGGTTTTAAACTGGCAACATTCTTCATGTTTGGGCGATCTGTGAAGTTCATCCTACCTGCTTCATTTTCCGAGTCAGAAGTGTTTCCTCTGTCAAAAACAATTGGGGAGATTTTCCTCTTCCTCTTCCTTCGATCATCATGTGAAGTTTTCTTACTTTCTGTCCCTAAAGGGTAAGAAGAGAAAATAACAAAAATCATGCAACCATGGCAAGAGAATGAATATGATGGACTACTTTAGCCTTTTGACAATTCAAGAAAAGAAAATTCACTCATCAAATTGTATCAGTTGCTGCACAGTCAAAGGCAACATTACAAGTTTATATGCTTGTTGCTTCCAGTCGGGCATCTGGAATGTGTATTGTGGAACGTGTATTGCAAATAATTCTGGGGTGGTGTGGCATAATGGCAGAGTGTTCGACTCAGAACCAAGAGGTCTTGGGTTTGAGTCCTGCCATGCCACTAGTCTTGTGCCCTTGGGAAAGGCACTTTACACAACTTTCCTCACTTGAATGAGTATTGTCCTGTCCTGTATTTGTCCTCTGCATTGGTGGCGGCATAGAATACTAGTAAGCTGAAAAAACCATTAACGTGTCTAGTCCTGTCATGACTCATGAATTGTTGGATTAAAAAAAATTCTATGATGGGTCCATATAAATACCCAGGCTTGAGGCACAGTAGTTTAACTAGTTACCTTCTCCCCCCAGGTCTGAGCCAGTGGGGCTGAGACTCCTGCTGGGGGAGCGTGAGTCCATCCCACTGGGACTGGGACTGCGGCTCAGACTGTGGCTGGGACTGCTGAAGCTGTGGGAATGTGAGGATGACGTGCTGGCCTCGCTACGGGTGTCAAACTCCATCTCCTGACTGGAGACAGGCTCCGTGTCAGGGGCAGGGGGTTCCACCACACCGCCCAGGTCCTCAGTCACCTCCATAGCCTCCTCTTCTTCCTCTTCCTCCAGATTCTCCAGACCAAGGGGGGCATCTAGCAACAATGACACAAGTCAAGCATATTGTACTTCATTTTAAAGCTATCATTCTGTATTTGAACAAAGGAAAATCAATGCTGTGTTCCCTATTAGAAAAACAAGGATTATATCTTACCTTCACGATTATATGCCTCACTCTTTGACATGGATAACAGTTCAAGGATCTGGAAGTACAAGTAAAAAGCAATAAGTGATACTTTCCGAATATTCAGACATAAAATTCATAGCAGTAGAAACTTTGTATAAGTTCCACAACCTCATACCTTCACAAATGATGTTAATGTTTTTGACTGACAAATAACAAATGCTTTCCATTTATAATGCAAGTAAGGTCAGTAGGCCTGTTGGCAGAGATCTTGTGGAGTTACACTGGACTGTAAGTCTCACACCATGGTTTTTGTGTTGGCACATGTGAGACAGGATGGCCCTACAGAAAAAATCTCCAGAAAATTTCACAAAATATTTCACTAAATCAGACAAGACTTTGATGTACATGATAACTATAATATCCCAATGTCCTATGATTGTATGGTGTGGGATTAAGAAGTGAAATATGAAATTTTTCAGGAATTACCTGTTCTTTCTCCTCCTTTGAAGCTGCACTTTTGCCATGCTCTGCTGTCTTCCTGCTCTCACCATGTTTCTTAGGAGTCTTTTTCTGCTCTATATCAGTGTTTCCCTCATCTGTCAGTTCTAGTGTATTGTCTTCCTTGTCCTCTATTGTATCACCTGTATAAAGATATTTTCCGTAGAATGCAAAAATCAATTCCAAAGGAAAAGAAGAAAATGTAAAGAAATAAAATGAAGAGTCTATTCCATACCATACTCTGTGTGTTTAGTCATTTGTTAAATTTTCATGACCACAGACATAGATTTCATAATGAAGGGTGCTTTTTTTGCCAAACTTTTTATTTGCACGCTCGCATCAGTTTTGTGTTCTGAGAGGATGTCATCCACACAGTCAAATCAACTGTGAACATGGTCTAAATAACACCAGATAACTTACCCTCTGTCTGGGCCCTGTCAAGAAGCTGCTTACTAACATCTTTCTCTTTCTGCTTGACTTTAGCTGCTTCTCTCTCTGGCTTTTCCATCTCTTGTTTCTTCTCCTTGTCACTCTCCTGACTGGTTTCTACGTTTTTCTTATTTTCTCGGGCCTTCCTTCCACGCCCGGGACCCTTCTTCCTCTCACTCCCTCCGAGTGTCTCTTTGTTCGCTGAGTTACCGCCTACAAGTGTCTTCCCGGGCACTTCTGCAGTCTTGTCGTCTCCCGGTGCTTCCATCTTTTGGCGGGGAGACTTGTCTGCAGCGTTGTTGGACCTCTGGGCCCGTGTGGTCCCAGCTGCTTTCCTGTGTTTCAGTCTTCCTGACTTTCCTGTCATACCTGAAACAAAGAAGGGAAATCACTCTGATTTTGTCTAATTTAGAGGTCTAGTACAGATCAGTACTGCATAAAGGAAAATTAGAGATCAAACTTCACAAGAGAAGTAAGTCATGACATAATGTTCCATATTCAAAGAACAGTTCCATGTAAATACTTTTTGAACAGGAACAGTATCAAATTTTGACACTTTGATATTGCATGAGGCCACTAATATAGAGGATGGAATGAAAAACATGTTAGTTTTGCCCATGTTTTGACAGACTATTCTCCATAAACAAAAACTTAACCCTAACTCTATATCAAAAGAAAAAAATGTTTGTCATTATTGAAGAAGTTCAGAAGAACATGATAATTTGTTGAATTGTTCAGGTACAGGTAAACCTGTGTACCTGTACTTGTATCTGTACCTAAGAATAGAGTAAGATTTGTTTAGGTACACAACTCAGGTACACAATTAGTGGTAGTACCTTTCTTGGCGCCCTCGGCTTTGTCCTTGTTTTCCATGAAGAGATCGTCATCAGCAGGGGTTTCCCCAGACAGGCACAGGATGTCATCCAGCAAGTTCACAGCTTCATCACCACCACCTGAACAACACAACAACGATCATCCAGCAAGTTGACAGCTTCATCACCACCATCTGAACAACACAACAACGATCATCCAGCAAGTTGACAGCTTCATCACCACCACCTGGTCAACATGACAACTCACACTCACTATATACTCCAGGCTACCATTCGACATTGCATACCAGGGCTTGAAATACTAAATTTTTCAATTACAACTCACATGCAAAATCGCATGTTGCCATAAAATTTGTTGGTTGAAAATTGACACACGTTGATACCATCTAAAAAACCTACTGCAAAATTGAAGCTTCAGTCTTCTCTACAACAGGATATATAAGAAAATCTACAACACCATGTTCGTATGATACTATCAATAATTTGATAGAGGGAAACTTTTACCTAAGATGGCCTGGATGCGAGGCTATGCAAACGTTTTTAAATTTGGTCAGGCACAAATTATGACATCTTACATTTCCTCTAGACATTTTTTGTCAAATATATATATCCTTATGATATAGATTTCTCATTTCATTACGATACAGATTTCAACATTATACACACAGGAGAGCAATTATTTTCATGGGTCATGGGTAGACGACAGAATATAATTTATGTGTTTTCTCGCCTGGGTGCCAGACTGCCTCCGGGGCCTGTTTCTCGGCTCCAGGGCAAACATCACCCCAAGGAAATCGTAGCACAGACTCCCTCAGTTACGCCCTGATCCCTGCACGCTGGCTAATTCTGGTCTAGAATCCAGACTAGTGTTTTCCTCTTTACCTCCATGCATATACAATTGTATTTTCTGCGTAATCTGTTGTGTGTTTGCAAAATTAAAGAGGACGCTAGACGCCACAACATTATCTGGCAAGGGTTAGACAGAAAACGCACCTCTACCGGCTTCGTTGTTCATAGCGCCCCTACTGGTTCCGGGGAAATCCTTCTTCTTCTGTATGGACTGGATAAAGCCTGTAAAACCCGTGGCAGGACAGATTTCCAGCCGAACCACAGGTACGCAAGTTTCCAACCCAAAGCAAGATGGCGGCGTCACAAGTGGCCGGAAATGACGCTTGGTCCCTGCAAATCTCGCGTGGTTTCACGAGAACTGTGTAAAACATCCACATCCACAGCCCACTAGTGTACCGGAGGTCTAACTTTTTGTCCGGCAAAGATCACATTTTCACAGCGGTAAATCGGATCTTAAGACGTTTTGTTGTCAACCTGCCTCTTCTAATTACTATCCTAGACATAGATTTGAAGTGAGACTTGTATAATTACCTTCGTCAGAAGGTTATGTTGTTGGTTGCATGTGTGTGGCCTAAATCTGTCATTCCAATTTGAATGAATGAGTTTTGATTTTTGTCTACCACGGAGAATGGAATGGTTTAAGATTTTGTCAGTCCAGACTCCAGAGTGACAAAATGTTTCATCATATGTAATGAGTTGTTTTCCATTGCTGCCATCCAGTTCTTGAGTTATCCTCCATCAAATACATGGTATTTTTAAAGAAATGCCCCTGCAGTTCCAGTAGAAGGTGCTAGGGACTCCGAAAAAAGGAGCCCAAACTGATATTTTAATGGCTTGTTCCTATGTCTAGAAGCACCATGCGGTATAGTGAAAAAGACTCCTAAGTCTGGCCCTGCAGTCACCAGAAAAGGAAGGCAAGATTCTGCACCGGATGTCAGGCACCAAGGGAAGACTTGTGGAAGGTAAAACCAACTTAAATCATAGAGAACTTTATTGACACAACAATCTTGACATAGCGACTTTCGTAAGGTCTATATTCTATAACGAAACATACAGAGAGACAAATGGGCACAAGAGAATTGACTTTCGTACAAGAGTATGAACGAGAAAACATGCTGACATTATTATTAGGGCTGTAGAACATTTACCACCTGGGGAAATAATAGAAATAGACTGACAAGTCAGTGGCACCATTGCAATTGTGATCATTTATCTCCTTTGTCATTAATGATTTTTTTTTCGTTTAACCAGGATACAAGGACAGACTCATCAGACTCAAGGCCAACTTTCTCTTCTTATTCAAGACAAATGAACAAGGCCAGATTCTGGAGGTACGAGACTGGGCATGGGTTATTACGATAGGTTGCAGTTGCTATCGAAAGTCGGGATATTTTTTTCAGCTACAGCACTTTATTACAGATGTTGTATGACTATGTTGGAATGTATAATGATTTGACTTGTAACTGTCTCTATTCATGATTTTATGATGTGTTATTTGTTTGTTTTGTTTGTTTTATGTGACCTTCAGCCTGTAGGAGCTGTGTTGCTGGAGAGATGTAAAATTCAGCCAGAACCAAAAGCAGACAAGGCCAATGTTTTTTCTATAGGTAAGGTAGTAAACATGTACCCAAGCTTCATGAAGCTTTGGAGAGCAGCAATGTGCCATGGCATTCAGTGGCAACATTTCCTTCTGTGTTGCACATGTACAAGTAAATAGGCAGTACAAATGTACACATGACATAAGGTCTCATTTATGCATTACTTCTAGTTAACCTAGATTATTACCAACCTAAAAAGTAAGCAGCTGTACATGTATGAAAGTGTGTTCATATTGGTAAGAAAATTCCTTATAGCCAGCCCAACGGATGAAAAAACATGAATGAGACCATAAGTATTCAGTCATTAAGTGGGAGGGGGATGGATAACTTTGGTACCTGGTAAATAATTAACGTTTGTTCAATGATAAGAACTGAAATGAGTTTTTCTTCTACATAGCTCTACAGGACGACCCGGAATGCAAGTATTACTTTGCCTGCAGATCTCTTGATGAGTGCAACGACTGGTTAACTGCATTGAAAAATGCCAGGTATGCAGTCAGTCCTTAGATGATAGAATGTACCTATTGTGACAGGAGTCTAAATCCCTCCTGCTATAACATTGCAACATGATGTAACCCAACACTAGTTACCATGGTGACAGACATCTGGTTCAGGTCATTGACCTTATTGGTTTGGAGAAGAAAAAGAAACAGAGCAAAAAACAATATGTTTTCCTTAGGTAAACATAATCAACTTGATAAAATCTGAACTCAGAACCTATTTGCTTCTCTGTTCATGTCTGATATTCTGTTAGAGGTAAGAGAGAGTGTTAGAGACTAACTATTTGACTCCATTATTGCAGTTATGAGAACATGAGGTCCAACATCCTGCTGCTCCAGAACAAGTTATCAAGACACACAGGGCAGCAAAGACTCCAGCATGGCCACATGTCAGCAGCTAGACAATAAGATCTTAGTTGTTCTCTTATCATTCATTCTTCAGCTCTCCCAACACATAAGCCTGGTGTTCATCCTATATTATATTCGAGCTCCAGTTTACCACATCGTATTTCTGCTAGCACTTTCAAGCACATTAACAAATTAAACACCAGTTTTCTATGGATTGTCCAACTGGTGATGTACATGATTAAGACTTTGAAACATGAGGCAGTCATAGAATTTCTGATCAACATTGAATAAATAGTGTTTCTAACCAACCTGTGTGAGGTTTATGTTGTTCTTTGTTTTGGCTTAGGTTTATAAAGTGATATAGATTTAGCTGATATACGGTATGGCCTAAGGTAGTATAAGTGGTCACCCAAATGTCATGGCCAAATGAATTTATAAGGCTATCTGTCAACCAATGGCAACTAATGAAAATGACTTAAAACATCAAACTCTTCATTTGATGTTTTATTCAGTTTGTTTGCTTTGTTATACTGTTATTGACTTACAATTTACACATGCCTTCAGCACTAAGATAAAGGATGGTACAGTGTAATACAAAGTGTGGGAAGGTCCTTCAGAACTATGAAAAGGGATGGTACAGGATAGTACAAAGTGGGAGAAGGTCCTTCAGCACCAAGGAAAGGGACGGTACAGGATAGTACAAAGGGGAAGGTCTTTCAGCACCAAGGAAAGGGACGGCATGGGATAGTACAAAGGGAACGAAACATCCGTTCGTCCAGCCGGCCCGTTCACCCAAATAAACTCGCCCCTTGTATGCAAATGTTGTTGTCCTACTGCAGTTTTGGAGAAAGATTTATGAAGCTGTGTGATGTTTATCTGGTGTTGTAGTCCATGTAACAAAAAGCATTATACTCTAATACATTTTGGATACAAAGCGCACCACACTTTGCGTAAGTTAGATGTTAATGAAATATGCTCAATTTTATGCCTGACAATTCGGGCCTAGGGCCGCAACTAGGCTGTCATTTTAGACAAATAGGGTTATTCTACTACTGCTACTAAGAGTAACATTACTGCATACTTAGAAAGTAGAAATCCGTCTATCCTTTCTTGAGTTATCCCATTTGAAAACTGTCAACAAAACGGCCCTGCAATTTCAAAATGAACAGCTAAGGGGCCAACCTATACCACTTGTCAAAGGATTTGCGACCCAAGATACATTAAAGATGAATTTCCTCAATTTAGTTCACAAGTTAGTTCTATTTTGCATTGTGCACATCTCTGTCTAAGCTACATCCATATCAAAACATTAAAATCCATCGTTTTTCCGTCTTCCTCTATACTTTTCTACTCGTAGATGTTGAAACAAAAATGCTCCTCCATACCAAACATACATCGCTTTTTCCTGCTACAGGTCTAAAAAAAATCATGTCAGTAATTGCCTATTTCTCGGCAGATGGGCATTATCGGAGGTAGGAGAAGATTCTACTTGACGCAAATTGGGATTTCGTGTGCTATCTGGGTGTGTCAAGAACACCATTACTACGCGCATTGAAAATAATGAGAACTTCGAGGTCACGACGTATCTAATATAACTATGCCGCTGAAAACATTTCACGTACAAACTGTGCAACATCATTCAGATAAGCAATAAGATTTCATCTTTTCCCTGTCATCTGATTGCATACAACATACTAAATACTCAAAGCACAAGTTAGTTTTGAAAGGGAAAAGTTTTTGAATCAAATTTTTTATAATTCGATTTGTATTCCAATATTTACCTCACATCAATTTTAGAATTTTCCCGAAGATTTTCGGTTTTCCGTAATATAACTTAAAACGTATAATTTGGGTGTAAAAAGAGATATAAATGTATGCAGCAGTTCTCCCAACCCGCCGGTGGCTGCCAATCTATCACCATAGCAACAGTGATGCGATCTCCTGGACCAATCAGGACGACGCCCGCCCCCATTTTTCTGCTTGATGATTTTGTTATATTTGCGTCTGACATCTCTGCGAAGTTATTACCACGGCGGCCATATCAAAGAAGGATGTGATTTTCTTCTGGGTTGTTGTTTGCATGGAACCAACTGAGGACCTGACACAAACGATACACCTGCGGCCCAACTCGCCGGGGTTCTTTGCTCCTACATCATGGGCAGTCACACGGACTACATTTGTTGCGTCTTGGCTGTGAGTTTCTTCTCTTATTTTAGTCCTTCTTCAGCTATTTTCAACCAGACCATATTGTGTTTTTAGACAGAGGTAACGGTAATCCAGTCGCCGGCTTAATTCTACTGTACGAGGAGGCATTTTGCATATACTGCCATTTTTGTGAATGTACTAGAACGACATCAAGTATTCTTTGTGTCTTCATTTTTGCATGAAGACTCCTAAGATTATTTTCAGGTTAGTAGAAATTGCGAGCCTGTACTTCCGGCAGGTATCCGCACTATTTTGTAACAGATTGTGATTTACATTGGAGCACTGTTCCTGAAAACCGCAGATTTGGATGGCAAATTTTGCGATTTTTAAATTTTTTTTCTAGTTTCAACTATGGCTGCTGACAGTGTGTTTTTATGTGCATGGAAAAAGTCATGGTTATTGATGTGTAAACATGTAATCATGTCTGCACCGCCACCGGTTGGAATTCCTGTTCGCGACGTTTGGGCGTACATTCGTCGCTTTGAAACGAAACGTTTTCTTCTGGAGGAGAGACTGAATCTTTCCTGTTGCCAAAAGACTAGAAAATGGCTATTTTTCGTGCAGTGAGCATTCTACGTGCACCTTGATGCATACATACATAACTCATAAGTTAGAATACATAACAGTGTGCGGCGCACTGGTGTCGGATATGTACGGCAAATTTGTGTGAAAAATACTTCAAGAAAATCTAGACAAAATGTGTCGATGGCTTGTTCACAGGGATGTGAACGTATAACCTTATAAAGACACGTCTTTTTCTCGACGATTTGCTCCGATTTACTGCCTGTGCCTCCACAGGTGTAGGTAGAAAACCGTTAGTTGGAAATGTGGTCCCGAACCTAACACAGCCTCCAGGACGGTTTCTTGCGAGAGCACTCCAGGCAGAGGCTTTGATTTTGGCTTATTTTTGGCGTGTTTTTAGACTTTTTTTTAATCAGACTGTCTTCTCTTCACTGGTAATTGGTATCTTTTTATTTACGCCAGCCCATGATACCAGTGCAAAAAAGAATGCCGTTTAAAAATGCCTAAAAATACGCCAAAAATACAAACATCTACTTGGAGAGTATGAGAGCACGTGTACTATGATGTAGCTCACACTGTCGTGAAAAATTTTGAAACTGACTCTATAGAAATCAGCCACTCGTCCATTCTTAGCAAAAAACAGCCTCCCTGGCACAACTCGGCACGTATGATTGCTTGATTAGCGTCTCCCGCAGCTCTGATGATTGGTGTTTACACTAACGTGCACTCCGGGAGGCGACGTTTCCAGAACACTGCCCGCGCCACCAGAACAGTTACAGAATAATCAGCTCGCAATTTATCCTGCAAAATCTCATTTATACACTCTTTGTTAGCCAGAATAGCGCATTTGAAGGCTTAAACATGCTTGCTTTTGGGGCGAAATTCTCGGTCCTACCATACACAATATACGGTCATCAGCTTGCAATTTATCCTGTAAAAATCCCATTTATACGCAATGTACTTCGCACGTATGTGATCTTTTGTTTCCATCTAAAACCTGTCAAAATCCAATTTATACACTCTTATTACCTCGCACGTATGAGGTCTTTTGTTTCCTAATAGGACGATAGGTGGCTGATACAGGCTTGATACAAGTAGTTCCAAGAACCTCCTCCTTGATAGTTCGAAGTATCTCGGGACGGGCGGATATCCTTATGCGCAATACAATTTGAATTTCAATGCCACTTACAGCACTAGAGAAACATGACACTCAGATGTAGCGTATTGTCGAATCATTCGCCTAGGAAATAGAGAGTCGAATATTGTAAAATCTCCTATAGAAAAGAAGTTGGCTTCGGAAAAATGGAGCTTCAAAGATCCAAAATCATCGTACATTTTTAAAATTCAGGGTGGCGAAATGGTAACTGTCTGGCCAGTGGATACAGCCTGACCTATTTGATACTGTCTCTGCAGCTACCAAAAGATCTACTCGAAGATTAGCCTAATACACAGTGAGATTTCAGCAACAAGCGGAGTACATGTACAAGCTTAGGTACCACAAACTAGCGCCCTTGCCAAATTAGCGCTTTCACTCCGTACAAAGCTACAGTGCGATGTCGTGACTGAAATCGTTAACAGATTAGTCAGAGGTGCAGGGTTGCGCAGGTGGCGACATGCTGAGGCGATGAACACGTCTCTGTGAAGGGAGTGACAGACCAAATTATGTGACCTGTGTGTGTGTAGGCATAAGCCGCCATTGCTCATCAACAACAGTCATGTATGATTTCTCTGTACCTCCTTTGGTCTCTCCATCTGTATAATCTAGCCGTACACGTCTCCTTCGGAAATGTATAATGTTAAGGTCATTTCCAAATCGGGGTCCGGTCGGACAGTCTTATGGATCGAAAAGTATTATACAAAAAACAATAAAGCACAGAAATGTCGAAAAAATAAATAATGGGAACTATTTGAGTATATTCTTGGTGAGGAATTGTTGATTGTCGGGCCCCGGTTTGGAAATGTGACCTCAGTGCTAGCGTAAGTGACACAATGGAACTTCTGTTTGAGCGAACGATTCTTTTTCATTTCAATATATTCCTGACACAACCCAAATCATCAAACAGTTTCTAAAGTTACACATATCGAATAGGTTGTAGACAAAATGAGCAGACTCTTGGATCAACAGAAATTTTCTGGAACCTTCCTGTTCCAATACTCAAGAAAAATGTGATATCCAGCCTATTTAGCTTTGCGATTGCTCTAGGAAAAGACACGATCGGGGATTTTGATCCTTCAAAGGTAGATTTCTGGCTTATTAGATTTAAAGAAAATGTAGTATGCAAAAAAAATAAAAGACAAGCTATCTATTGCGACCCTCAGTTCATATAACGTTATTTACTTCAAACATTTTTGTGTTGTTTACGGTGGCGTTCAGTGAATGTTTGGGTTCCAGACCTAATGCAGCCAGGGGTATTCCCTGATGATCATAGAATACAGTTAGAATATACTAGTATTTACGGAGGTGTGAAGGGTTGTTTTCGTTGCTGTAACGTTACATAAACGCAATGTAATAGCTCTACAGTACCGGTAAAATAACTTCTGTACCGTGACATGATGTCCGCCCACTGGCTCTGAACGCAGTGGGAGACGGACGCACAGAAACTGTGTTCCCGCAATTCCGTGGTCACACTCCTGGACTGATATAAAGGGATGCAAATATATTGCAAATCCTACGTAATTAACGGGCATATCTGATGATGGCATAATCATAATCAGTCAGAGGTAATAAAAAGAGCCGTTTCTCCCATTTCTTACGACTACGTATAACGTTACACTCAATTAGGTTAGCATGTCGATTTGACTAGTATTTGATTGTAGATGGGTGGCATGAATTTTCGTCCGTTAAAAAAAATTTCGATCATACCATGGGCGATAGGCCACCGAGTTTTTGTTGAGATCGCTGTTGCTTTGTTTTATGAACACTCGTATACTGTGCACTCCGTACAAGCTTAAGATTCCCGATAATCATACACTGAACACAAACACTATGAACACGGTCCGTTGAAAGGATCCGAAGAGTCATGAACTCAACACATAACACCGTGAACACTGTCCGTCGAAAGATTCCCGAGAATCATACACTCATCGCATAACACCGTGAACACGGTCCGTTGAAAAATTTCCCTAGAATTCTCTGTACAATGAACCATACATATATAATACATACTGCTGGGTACTTGGTCCGCTGAATCATACAATAAAAAGCACACTCATTACTCAGCTGTTACATTGGCGTTCAGGGTAGCGCAAAGACCGACGGGAATAGAACAGGTTTCGCAAACTCGAATGCGTTCGCAAAACCGCTGCTCGACTCGATAGAACCCCAAGCCGGGGCTAGCGCTAGCGGTGATAACTTCAAAAAGATGACTATACTAGTGTATACTAGTACTAAGTACCTAACCAAGATGAAGCGTTCGGAAGTCGCTGTTCGGCTCTCGGCAATCTTCGGGAGACTTCGGTATCTGTTCGTATGGTTCTTTGGAATCCTCATCAGTTTGTGACCGTGTTCAGTGTACGCATGATTCTCGGGAATCTTTCAACGGGCCGTGTTCACGGTGTTATGTGTTATGTGACTGTATGATTTTTGGGAATATTTCAACGGACCACTGTATTGTGATGGCAACGGGCTGAATGAGTAGACACAGTGTATGTTCTAACATGCGCGAAACAATAATAAGGATTTTATTTAATGGTTTACAAAACAATGTAACGTTACATGTATTGTTAGATCTCAACAAAAACTCGGTGGCCTAGCGCCTGTGATCATACTGTAAATCGTAAAGAGTGGCTGCAAAACGAGCAAATATATTCCGTACATTGCAAAAATATTGGAAAACGATACTATTGAAAGAAAGAAGAAAAGAAAAGTAAGAAAATGTGAAGAAATGAAATTGAAGAGTTTTTATATTTTTCGTCATACCATACTCGTGTGTTTTGTCATTTGTTCAACCTTCCTGACCACGTAGATTTTAAAATGAAGGCAACTTTTTTTTGTCAAAACTTTTATTCGCACGCTCGCGTTAGTTTTGGGTACTCAGGTACAAAACTTAGGGTGAAGGTGCAAGGGTCAAAGTGCACGTCCTGCAACAGCTGACGGCAACTTCGTGGCCTGTTCGTGGCAGGACGTCGATCTTTGCGTGCTGCACTCAGGGAAAAGTGTCCGGTATCTCAGTTCTCAGTCTCGGCAGGATGGCGAAAGAAAGCAGAATGAGTGGTTGAGTATTTCACGAACGTTCTCAGTGATTTTTGCCGTCAAAGGAGGCATATTGTCGAAACTAGGCACCACACAGTTTGTTTAGACATGGCGACTAGGCTAAGGAGGTCGAAGCCAGTGATCCACACTTGGTTTGTTAACGTACACTGTGACCAACTGTCAGTACTTACATTATCGATTACAGAATCGCCAAGAAGTTTCTCTTGTTCGTAACGGTTGTATGTTAACGTTACATTTCAACGGTAGGTATGTAACAATACGTCAAATTTGAAGCTCCTTGGTGTATGTAAGTCGTTAATGTATGTATGTAACGTTAACAATGTATGTGACACAAAAAATTTGTTGAATCTTACTGAGTTTAATCATGGGCGATAGGCCACCGAGTTTTTGTTGAGATCGCTGTTGCTTTGTTTTATGAACACTCGTATACTGTGCACTCCGTACAAGCTTAAGATTCCCGATAATCATACACTGAACACAAACACTATGAACACGGTCCGTTGAAAGGATCCGAAGAGTCATGAACTCAACACATAACACCGTGAACACTGTCCGTCGAAAGATTCCCGAGAATCATACACTCATCGCATAACACCGTGAACACGGTCCGTTGAAAAATTTCCCTAGAATTCTCTGTACAATGAACCATACATATATAATACATACTGCTGGGTACTTGGTCCGCTGAATCATACAATAAAAAGCACACTCATTACTCAGCTGTTACATTGGCGTTCAGGGTAGCGCAAAGACCGACGGGAATAGAACAGGTTTCGCAAACTCGAATGCGTTCGCAAAACCGCTGCTCGACTCGATAGAACCCCAAGCCGGGGCTAGCGCTAGCGGTGATAACTTCAAAAAGATGACTATACTAGTGTATACTAGTACTAAGTACCTAACCAAGATGAAGCGTTCGGAAGTCGCTGTTCGGCTCTCGGCAATCTTCGGGAGACTTCGGTATCTGTTCGTATGGTTCTTTGGAATCCTCATCAGTTTGTGACCGTGTTCAGTGTACGCATGATTCTCGGGAATCTTTCAACGGGCCGTGTTCACGGTGTTATGTGTTATGTGACTGTATGATTTTTGGGAATATTTCAACGGACCACTGTATTGTGATGGCAACGGGCTGAATGAGTAGACACAGTGTATGTTCTAACATGCGCGAAACAATAATAAGGATTTTATTTAATGGTTTACAAAACAATGTAACGTTACATGTATTGTTAGATCTCAACAAAAACTCGGTGGCCTAGCGCCTGTGGTTTAATCCGATGTCTTTAAAAGGCTAACAAGGTGTTGACCTTTATTAAAGGGACATTATCCAGAATTGACCCTATGGGGTTACCGTTAAGTAGATTATGCAAAGGTATTGTAAATAAAAGCTTTTATTTTTTAAGAAGCTTATCTTCTTAAACAGATAAGTAGGCATCATCCCTTTAATATTTACATGCAACCAGGTAATCTGTATATCTAATATGCAAAAAACGCTGTAGAATATTTGGGGATTCAATTAGGATTCAATGGGGAACACCTATTGCAATTTTGTTACCTTTTTAGATGTATTTTTATCAATATCTTAATTAATATAACGTTACTGTCAACAAAAAAATACAATAAGGTTTTGATAATATTAGTTGAAAACCTAACTGTTACATGTATTCTGGCATACTGGAAATCATTGACAACACAAGAAACTAAATAGATTGTCTTAAAAGTTGATATAACATTATGGTTAGATCTTGTACTGTCGATGGAACGATTAGATTTTGGACTCCTGGCAGCTTTCTTTGGTACTGCAGCAGAGCTTCTTGTTTTGATATGTTGTGTTCTGGACATGCATTATATATATTGACCTTTATCCTTGAAGGTTTGGCAATATATTGGTATGAGGTCATAGAACTCTTGTTCTGTATTCATTCTAATGTACACGACATGTTTTTCAGTAGCCAGAAGTTCCATATGAAAGATAGGCTTTTCTCTGCCACAGCAGGAAAGACCTTTCCTTTTCAATAAACTGCTAGCAAATTAATTGTACTTCTACACTTTCAGGCAATCGTTGTGGCAGCAGTTGGATGGCCCGACCCAATGGACAACAAGAACTACGGCTGTTGGCCCATAGACGCAGATGCAAATAAAAAGACCCCAATAAATTGCGATGGTAACTGTGTCAATACTAGTAATAGGATTCAACTCGTCAAGTTTTCAATAGCCATGTAGAGACTCGATGTTTTTTATAAACATGTTTTTTTTGGTGGCTAATGAATTTGAGCTTCATGTTCACATGGAAATCATTATGCATGTCACGCCAATCAAGGTTTAAGAAATCCAGGTGATGAGATACACAAGAAATTGTTACTCAAGCAACTGGATAGAAAAAATGCTTCAAAACCTAGCATTATATATCCAGTTGCTTTCTTGTGAGGTTGAGTTCTGTTACATATGATGGAGCTTGATTTTTGTGGAACGACTGTCAGGACTTTGAACATGGGATACAGGAATTTTCTTTTACACAACCAGTAGTGTCGCCAAAAAGCAGTTACTCAAGCAACTGGATATGATTTTGAAAACGTCAGACGTTTCAGCTAGTATCCACTAGCTTTCGTCACTTTATTTACATATCAATCAATAGTTTGTGCTTATAAACCTGCATTTCCCCTCTGGTCTCTCAGTCACTGACGAAAGCTAGTGGATACTAGCTGAAACGTCTGACGTTTTCAAAATCATATCCAGTTGCTTGAGTAACTGCTTTTTGGCGTATCGTGTTACCTGGATGTCTAACCTTCATCGACGTAACCAGTAGTGTCTATTACCTTCTTAAGTTGCAAGAGACAAAACTCCTCTGAAAACCTCAAGGAATGTGTCTGACAGACACCGAAAAGTAAACACTTAGGTAAGAGACATATTGGTTGTTGAAAAGAAAATTCTTGTATCCTATATATGTTCCCCCAACCTGATGAAACTATTTTGTGAAGGTCTGGACATGGCATGGATCAAGGGTCCTCCAGCACAGATCACAGCTGGACATGAGTTCAACGTGACCTACAGTCTACATCTCCCTGATGTCTTCTACAGTCAGGCTGTGGAACGAAACATCCTGCCTCATGGGTATGTTACAATAAGGACTCTAAGGTTGAACATCCCTAGATGTAGGACCAATATCTACAAGAACAGTTTCATTCCCTACATATCTCGTCTTTGGAACAGCTTACCCAGATACATTACAGACTCTTCCACACTCAGGCAATTCAAGTGAACATAAAAGTACAGTGAAAAAATCAGGAATTACTTAATATGCTGTCTAGAAACTTTCACAAATATAAACATTGCACTGTTACAAAATTAAATTGCTCTTGTTTTCTGTTATGTTAACTTCAGGAATGCTACTGAAGCCAAAACCTGGTGTCATGACCATCCCTGTCCTGACCAGTGGAGAAAGGCTACCCAGGAGAACTGTTGTGTGTATCATGTAAATGTCCACTCCTGCCCACAAGAAAGTGTAAGTATACTGCTGTATTTGTAGAGCCAGTGTCAACGCCCCTTGGCGTAGCACACCAGCCTCACAAGCATGCAGCAGCACGGCTTCAGCTTGCTATATTACACCAAATGACTTGTTACACGTAGCCTTTCATTACATCTACACTATTGTTTAAAGCTATCCGGAGAGAATGCCCCTACTGTTCTTCTGGTGGCAGCGAGTTCCATTTTATGACAGTTAAGGGGAAAAAAAGAGTTTTGGAGTACTCTGTCTAATCCTGACCTTTTTCTTCATGACTTCAGTGAAAAACACCCAGCAGACCAATTTGAGTTCTTCATGAATTAAAACAAAGGGTCAAAGCAAACTATATGCTATTTTCTCAAATGGTACACCATGTAGCCACCTCTCAGTAACTCGACAGTGTAAATGTTAGCTATACAAAGCTAATTCTACTTCATCTGTGGGATATACTAGAAAGGTTGTGCCTACCACCTCCCAGCGAGACACAGGTGGCTAATGCTCGGTAAAACAGCCTAAAAGCTTTAATACAGAAGCTGACCTTTCTCTGTACTATGCCTGCCTTCTCTGCATATTGCATGTTGCCAGGTTTCGTTAGGATTGCTATATCTGAGTACTTCCGGTTTTGCTGACTTAATACTTACTTCCTCACTTCACACCAAGCCACAAACTTTTATTTCAAATACTTCAGAACTATTCCTGACACTCAATACCAAAAATCAAACTGATGAATAAATATCTCCAATGACAAAAGCATACTCTTCTGTTTTTATGGATTATTTCAAATACAACTGAAAATTTTTGAATACGTCAAGCATATCCAACACTTCACACCGAATCACAGAATTTTATTTCAAATTCATTTACTTCTTGGACACTCAATAACAAAAAAATAAAACAATTGATAAAGGTCACTAATGACCAAAGCATACTTGGCTATTTTTATGGATTTTTATGGATTTTTGAAATAACTGAAAATTTTTTGATACTAGCAAGCATATCCAACACTTCACACCAAATCACAATTTTTAATTATATTTTACGTCTCTATTTCTCAGACACTCAAAATGATAAAAAAATCAACTGATGCATAAAGATCTCCAATGACATAAGCATAACGGGCTACTCGGTTGTTTTTATAGATTATTCAAAATAACTGAAACTTTTTGAATACAGGCATTATCCATGCATGTGGCCTTCTGGTATTTGCCGGCAACTGCTGACTTACAGCCATTAGCTTCTGGGAATATCCCGTTCCTGTAACGTGATCTGCCTCTAATCCAAGTTTGCCGCCCACAGACCACCACAACACCTGATGCCACTGGTTTGTGGCAGCTACAACCAGGGACCAACTCATCATGATTGTGCAAATTCTACTAAGTTAAAATAATTCTGCCAGGCCTCTAGGAAAGGAAATGTTGTGTTTCCGGTTTCATTTAATTTGCCTCAAAAGCTTTTAGCCCTGTTCAGGGCTTTAAATCAATCTTCCAAGGCTCAAATTTACATACAGTTAAAACAAATACAATACATTTTGCAAAATAACACAAATATCAAGAACATAGATGTACTACCAGCACAGAACAATATGTACTTGAATTTGAAATAGATAATATTAATAGATAATAACAGTTACCATGATACTATGATGATTAAAAACAAAATTTATGGAAACAGATAATTCTAAGGTACTACTGTACATATAGGTGCTTTAGCAAAACAGTTCACAATGACAAAGCAAATTTTATGGACCGACGAACCAATATGCTAGAAATTAATACGACTGAAATATTGTGATAAAAACTAATGATAAAAACATTTGAGACTCACAAGGATATGTCCAAATAATTAAAATTTTTTTTTCAATGTTCTTCACCATAATTAGAGAATGTCACAATTACATTGTTCTGCAATTTGGATTCCAAAATACTTTCTGCAAATACATGCAATACACTTTCAAGCCCTACTCAAAAATTGCATGTTGGCAAACATTTTACAATTTGAAAAATATAATGCATGGACCGACGAACCAATATGCTAGAAATTAATACGACTGAAATATTGTGATAAAAACTAATGATAAAAACATTTGAGACTCACAAGGATATGTCCAAATAATTAAAATTTTTTTTTCAATGTTCTTCACCATAATTAGAGAATGTCACAATTACATTGTTCTGCAATTTGGATTCCAAAATACTTTCTGCAAATACATGCAATACACTTTCAAGCCCTACTCAAAAATTGCATGTTGGCAAACATTTTACAATTTGAAAAATATAATGCATAACTTAGTTAAGTATTATGATAAAGTCAGTTACTGCAGTAAGCAGAAAAGCTCCCAAACAATAATATACATGTCAGTCAGACACAATTGAACACCTATCCTGATTTTTTCAGTGTACAAAATTGCAGGTTTAATTTTTCCTCAGTCTGCAACATTGAAAATTTCTCTGCAAAATGCAGACTGGAGATGGGTTAAGTTCTAATACTGATATGTTATCCTTCAGCTTAGCGAAGGGCCTGATAACATATGTGGACCATGGATCCCTGATGATGGAGAGATCTTCACCCACACCGTGGCCATGGCTGGACAGGCAGACGTGGTGAACTGGACCAGCTACATGCAGCTGTGGAAGACTGGGCCACACTCTCTCATCGCACATATTAAAGTGGGAACACTGCAGGCTGCACTGCACGCCCTGACTGAAGTTGTACCAGCAACATGTAAGTAACTGCAACAAGACAACAGATTGATGCTAGAGAACACCATGATTGTATTGATCAATATTGTATGAAGTATAGAAAATACAGTATGTGAGGTGACCAGATAATGCCAAAGTAGTCAGTTATTATGTTAACGTTAAAGGATAAACCACAGAGTTTGTGATAAAACATAACAACAAAATTCACAAAAGCTCTAAATATGTAGTATACAGATTAGGTTTCCGACACTTTGTTTTGGTCATGAGATCTTCCTGCTTTTTTTTGCATACTGTAATTCCTGGGTTTTTTTCATCGATGGTACTTTTGTGTTCACAGTTTTCACTGCCACTTCTGTATTGCAAACTTATCAACAAATCAATCGCTGACATTCTTTTTCCTGGATCACGCCACTATGTTATGTTTATTAGTTATGACGTCATGGGTCACATGGTGCCCGTCCCGTAGTCCGTCCACCGACTCCACAGCCATGTTGGCCATGTTAATAATTGTTACGCTTCTCAGTATCAGGCTGCATCCCTGGGTCCCGTCGCATCATTCGCGTCCTTGGCCACTTAGTGGCGCTGCACCTTCCGCCACTGTGAACATTATACATATAAGGTCCGTGAATTTTGCAAAGATGTAAAGTGAATAATAGTGATACATCAGGCCAGGTGTGCATGAGTCTTAGATATACAAATTATGATACATGTTGGTACTGTATGATAATTCAATATCCTACCCTGTGTGTTGCCTCAGCCTGTGGTGATGACAACTGTGATGATGATGAGACATGTGACACCTGCCCACGAGACTGTAAGCCCTGCCCCATGTCAGACCAGATCAAGGCTGCCATCGCTGCCCCGGTCACCTTTGCCTTCTTTCTGCTCATGGCCACACTAGCAGTAAGTCTTCATCTGTAGTCTTCAGTGGGGTCGTGTGGCGTAGCGGTAGTGTGTTCAGCTAAGAACCAAGATCGGTCCCGAGTTCAAATCCTACCCATGTCACCGATCTTGTGCCCTTGGGATAGGCTTACAACAACATAAACTTGTCTAAGATGACCATCATGGGTCCAAGAAAAAGTGGTCTTCTTATACAAAAAACATGGTGATAAGAGAAGACAAGGAACAAGACAACCACAGCGAAATCTCCACCCATTTTACAATTTTACAGAAAGTTGGACATTTCAATGAGATCATAGTTCAGCAGTAATATCTATAACAACTGAGGTGATTTGACCAATTGCATCATGAAAAACAGATTCAGATGCAGAACCGAGTGATTATGACATGTCATAAAACATCTAACAAAAGAGCTTTTTAGCTTTCATGTAAGATTAGCATTATCAGTCAGTTACTAGGTTGAGTTTTTATCCTCTTGATCTTTTGTATTTCAGTGGTTTCAATATCAGAAACAGAAAATGTTCTGGGATGAGAGCTGGATCATTGACTATGGAGACATCAGACCAGGTATGTTACATGTTGTGCAGTTTGTATGGAAAATATCTCATTTTCACATAATAAGCTATATTTTGAAGTAAGAAAACATGAGAGAATCAGTCTACCCACAGCCAGGACAAGGAGACTTTAGCTAAGCAATTCTTTTCTGAATTGTGCAATACAGATTTTATAATAATAGACTGAAACATTGAAACAGTTAGAACATCTTTTGTGTCTGTGAGATTGTGTTTTTTCTTACTTGTAAATATGAATTTTATATTTAGTTTGTACTGTGATGAGGAGTAGGTTTTTAAGTGTGGTTACTAAAATGTTGCATTTTTGTAATGGGGATGCAATTCAGGCTACTCAGTTCCTTTCTTAATTGATAAACTTTGAACTTGAACTAGAAAGACATTCTGATCTAAATGTTCAGTAAGATAATTCTATCAATCAGTGACTATTAAATCCTAAGGTACATACCTCTGAATTTTCGACGACTAGTCAGTTTGTCTTGGTCACGGAATGATCCTAGTCTCGCGAGAGAACGCGAGACTAGGACGAGACTTGCGTGGATCTTCTGCCCCCCTCTGCCTCCTTGCGGAGTAGAGGTAGGTAGGGCTTAGGGAGCTCCCAGCCTTCGTTGCAGTTCAGCTTGGCTCCCACTAGTTGGATGTGTATGGCCTCCTTGATCTTCCGGTGGGCGTTGCGGGCTTCCTGATCGATGATTTCGATCGTGTCTAGTATGGGTTGGGTGGTGACCCTATTTCCAGTCTGTAACTGGTGTTGACTAAGTGCAGATTTATAGTCCTTTCTTTCAACAACATGTTAACAGATCACGGGATTCGTGGCTTCATGGGCAGCATTCTGAGTGTGAACACAGGAAACAGCAGCACCATCAACACCAGCCTGGTGTCCACACAGAACAACATCAACAGCCGCACACAGCGCAAGCAGATCTTTGCACAGACAGGGATCTTGTAAGTAAAATCATTTTACAAACACTTAAGAAAAGCTGATTAAAAGTGTATCTTGTGAATTTCAGTTCAGTTCATTTTAATACAATCAATAAGCATGTACACAGAAATTGCAACATGAAATTTGTTGAAAGTTAACTTACAAACTAGTAGTAAAAGAACAAAGCTGTCAACATTAAGAATACGGTTAAAGCATAACATTTAAAACTAAGTTTCCATTCTTCGTCATCAGTCAGTCCCATGGGATCAAACCTTTTTTCCAGGAACTTTGTGTTAACTAGTTTTACTTGTCAATGATTCTAACACCATGATTGTGATGATCTATGCAGTGATGGCAGGACAGTGGCGATCAAGAAGGTCCAAAAGCAATGCTTTCAGCTAACCAGGACCATCAGGATGGAGGTACAGCAAGTCAGGTGGGATCTCGCATTACTTAGTCAAAAGCCGGAAGAATATGTAGGATTTTAACGGATAGTTGAAGGTGCATTGTGTATTTCTGTTGTTCTGAGAAAATGCTATTATAATAATTTCATTCAAATAACTTCTTGGAATTTAATACTTTGGAAGTGAAGTGAACTTCAAGGTAAATATCATTAAACATAACCTATTCAAATTAGGATCTCATTTGCTTGATTTATGACAAAATGCTGGAATGACTTTCTTAGACTGTCATGGGGTCCTAAAATTGGGAATGTGTCAAATTTATATTTTCTGTGCTCATTTCTTCTGTCAGCATGCCATTAGCTCTCACTCTAACAGCTATGTTACATCTCCTGTGACAGGGGTCTGGACCATCCAAACCTGTGTAAGTTCATTGGTGGATCCATCGAAGTGCCGAGTGTTGCCATCATCACTGAGTACTGCCCAAAAGGAAGCCTGAACGATGTTCTGCTGAATGACGACATTCCACTTAACTGGGGTTTCAGGTAAGAAAACAATCTTATCATAATTATCACCATAAATAAAACTTAATGTCCTATTAGCGCTCAAGAAATAAATGGTCTCTGTCATCATAAACAAAACTTTTCTCCTTTTGGTACACAAGAAATTGCTTTGCAAATGTTACATTTTTTACTTTACTAATGATACTTTTTCTTCCCAAGGTTCTCCTTTGCCACAGACATTGCCCGTGCCATGGCCTACCTGCATGATAAGAAGATTTTCCACGGCCGCTTGAAATCTTCCAACTGCATCATTGACGACCGATGGGTGGTGAAGATTTCAGGTAGGTTCCTGTTCTATTGGTATTCTTCAATATGTTGTCTACTGGAGTTTTAGCAAAGCTTGAAAAAGATGAACACTCAATAGTTGCAATGGAAGATATAAAGAGAAAATAAATCACTTCAGATCATAAACAAGAAGTTAAAGCAAAGATACTTTTAATCTTGATGATAGATAAACAGACAGCTACTGTAGAATGAATGAAGAGTCTATTATTCGCCATACCATACTCTGTGTGTTTAGTTCTTCAACCTTTATGACTTGTATACAAGAATAAGACTTAGGGATTAAACAAACTTTGTATGAATTTCCAGACTACGGGCTGCAGACATTCAGGAAGGAAGATGTGGTGACGTATGAAGACAACTACAGACAGCAGCTGGCACGAGTGTACTTCCCTCCCGAGGTCCACCACTGTCCTGACCTGCGCTATACCGGCCCTACTGATGTATACAGGTAACAATACACTATCCTGTTTCAGTTTCAGATGTTGTCTATATATAGTATTACCTACTTACTTATCCCTTTGACTTTCTTCTTCCATCTGGGTTTGTCCTCAGCCAACTTTCTTGCTGATTGCCAGATAATTCCATAGATATGCTAGGTCATCCGATACACAGTTCTTCTCCAAGTAGTTTTGGGTCTACCTCTTTTCCTTTTACCATAGGCTCTCCAATTTAAAGGCTATTTGGGGTATTCTAGGTAACACTACTGTAACAGATCAAACTACTGTAACATTATCCTGTTTGTTTTACATGAACACCTCTCTATCTGGAATGTAAAACAAGTACAGTTAGTCTGGTATCCTATCATGTGATGAAGAGTCAGTTGACACCTACATGTACAAGTGGCATTTGACTACTAGTAGGCTCCTTGAGGTAAATTTGTGTGTCACTAGTAGAATTCTTAAAGAATCATATTATAGAAAAATAAAGATTTGTTTTCTCTCTATCATTCTTAATAGCAAGACTGTCATGTAATATATATATTGTGTAATTATGGATATGGAGGGAATTAACTTAAAACAGTTCATTGTTAACTCAATATGAGAACTGTTCTCCACACACCTGACATGTCCCTCTGATGTTACCCCAGCTATGCTGTCATACTCGCAGAGATTGGTTCCAGGAATGACCCATCACTACCGGTAAGTGAAAACTCTTCATTCCTTCAGACTTATACTTTTTGAAGGTCCCCTTTAAGAAATAGTAAGAAATGACACTCAAGCAGCATATTCTAAAAGATGCTCATTTTTTCTTCCATTCTTCAACATACAGGATGATGTGGAGTGTCTGGATCCAACATGGCGTCCCAGCCTACCAGAGCTCTGCAACAAGACACAGTCGGAGAATGACTGCCCACGGCCTCACGATTACATTGAGGTATATATTTGTATCTTAGATGGAGGTAGCCAATCTCTGAATTCTAAGTTGAGTAGTTTTCTGGCAAAGGTTAAGCATAAAAATGGTGCAATGGCCAAGGACTTTCAACTTTAACTTAATTTGCTGCTACAGTTACAGGCTAGCTCCATGCCTAGAAGTGGCCAATGGCCTTTCATTGAGCGACACCGTTAAAAAAAAAAAAAGCAGAGCTAAGAATGTCATTCGGCTAAGGAGTTGAGGTTTAGTGTTGATAGAGGTGATAATATAACTTGAGAGACATACATAGCTTGTTTTTTGGACAATGGTTGAACTCATCAAAAACATTTTACCTTATGTGCCATCATTACTGTACCTCCCAGCTGATCCAGCGCTGCTGGGGTGAGCAGCCTGTGCAGCGGCCAACATTTGAACAGATCAAGAAGATTCTACATCGCATCAACCCTGAGAAAATCAACCCTGTGGACCAGATGATGAACCTGGTAGGTGCAATTTTGTATATCGGGTACTGTACATTTTGTCATGGTTTCAAATCCTCAACAACAGTGTTTATCAATCTTATCAGTGTGTTCTCATACTCACTGTTTCTTTTTGAAAAAACGACCAAAATTTGAGTACAGTAATTTGTTCTGTATGTATTTTTATGTATTTCTGATGCTTTTTTATAACATGACCTGTCCTTGGTGCTGAAATCACTGTTAGAATAACATCTTCACAAACCTGCCTTCCATCACCTGCAGTACTGACCATCTCTACATCCACTGAAGTACAACATACTTCTCTATGTATTTCTTGTGATTTTTATAGCAATGCCTGTCCTTGGTGCTAAAGTCACTGTTGAACAAATATCTTCAGAAACCTGCCTTACATCACTTGCAATACTGACCCTCTCCAGAACCACTGAAGTACAACATACTTCTCTATGTATTTCTTGTGATTTTTATAACAATGCCTGTCCTTGGTGCTGAAGTCACTGTTGAAATAACATCTTCACAAACCTGCCTTCCACCACTTGCAATACTGACCCTCTCCACATCCACTGGAATACAACATACTTCTCTATGTATTTCTTGTGATTTTTATAACAATGCCTGTCCTTGGTGCTGAAGTCACTGTTGAACAAATATCCTAACAACTCTGCCCTCCATCACCTTCAATACTGACCCTCTCCACATCCATGTTATCTCTCTCTGTACTGCCAATATCAATAGGGACTAAAAAACTTCAGCTTGGGATATGATCTGAAGTTGGAATCTTCTCTCTATCTCTATCACACTACCACAATTTGCACCTCATAACATGTACAGTATAACATAAGAAGTAATGTATAACAGTGCATAAGAGAAGTAATGATAAGTAAATATTTGAACAGATGGAGAAATATTCCAAACACCTGGAAGTGCTTGTGGCCGAGAGAACTGCAGACCTCCTTCATGAGAAACAGAAAACAGACCGGCTCCTCTACAGTAAGTACTCTTGGAGTAGCTCTTGCTCATGTTTATCTGTACTGTTTTACAAGGTAGTAATAATATTTTGATTATGCTTGATAACTGTTTATTTAAATGATTCAATGAAGTCAATTTGCTTTAGCAATATCACTGCCATGTGTACTTACCACTGAATGCCATATCATAAAGTCTATACTTGTATGCTTATTGTCTTAAAACTTCAAATGAATTTCACTTTCAAATTGGTGTCGCCCTCCCCACGCCACCCCATAGGCATGCTGCCAAAGTCAGTAGCTGATGACCTTCGACAGGGCAAACCAGCGCAGGCCATAGGGTTTGGAGCATGTACCATCTTCTTCAGGTAATACCATATGGTTAAGTAGTAAAAATTCTGTTCTCAACTATGGATATAGAGATTTTCTTCTTACACAACCAGTAGTGTTTCTCACCTGCTTGATAATATGTTTTGATGCCTGTCAGACGTCTTTCTCAGAGGTCCTTACCGGAGTACTGCTTCGTACCTACAATATGGCTACATATAGTAGTGAGAAGCAGTACTCCAGTTAAAAGCTCTGAGGAAGGTGTCTGACAGGCAGGTGAGAAACACTACTGTAATTAGTCCTCTAATCTGCTGAAATTATTTTGGGATGTTCTCAACTACCTTTACCTGAATACTAAGGCCTCATATACCACCATCTGTGTCCCACAGTGACATTGTAGGCTTCACCACACTGTCCAGTACCAGTACTCCAATCCAGGTGGTCACTCTGCTCAACAAACTCTACACAACCTACGATGAGATCGTGGACAACTACGATGTTTACAAAGTGGAGACCATTGGAGATGCATGTAAGACAAGTTCATACATTCCAATGACAAAGAAAATACAATGATATAATGGCTATGTCTAATTTTATGCTACATTCTACAACATACATGGTACTGATGAAGATATTATTATACAGAGAATACTGATATTATTATCTAAAACATTCTCAAATTTACCGATGGTGTGTATCTTTTTCCAGATATGGTGGTATCAGGAGTTCCCAGAGAAAATGGAGACAGGCATGCAAGTGAGATTGCCAGTATGGCGCTGGACCTGGTGGCAGCATGTGAGACATTCCGTATCCCGCATCGTGGGGAGGAACGCATCAGAATCAGAGCTGGGATGCACTCAGGTGTGTAGTAGTTTTAGTAGATTCATTCCTCAAGCTAACCAACATACTGTTGTCCTTTAGTAAGACATCTATTGCCCATTCATCAATTAATGTACATTCAATTTGTTGTTTCAGGCCCGGTTGTGGCTGGTGTGGTTGGTTTGAAGATGCCTCGGTACTGTCTGTTTGGTGACACTGTGAACACTGCATCTAGGATGGAATCTACTGGTGAAGGTAGGAACATTGTATGCAACACTTAGATTGTGCCAGACTACATTCTGAAATTTTCCATATCATGAGGAAATAGGTGCCTTTCCCAAGGCTGCAACAGCGGGGCCTCCCAGGGAATTGAAACCAGAATCTTCAGGTTCTGAGTTAACCACCTTTAGTTAACATCATTTGGCAAAGGATTGTAGCCATGGAACTCTTGTTCATTATGGAAATCAGAACTCTTCAAACACAAAATTCCTTTTCCCCCAGCGCTGAAGATCCAGTGCAGTGACACCTGTTACCAGATCCTCCGACAGATGGGAGGCTACAGGCTGCAACTCCGCGGCACTCTCCCTATCAAGGTGGGTGAAGAAAATTAACCTGCATTTATCCTGTATTCAGTCTACCATAAACTATGAGTATTAGAAAGTAATTTATTTCTTATCATTACAACATATCAATGTCTTGTATATAAGAATTACTGATGAGTACAATGGACAAACTGCAAATAGCTACAAATTGTAGTATTAAAGGAGCACGATGGACATATTGTAAACTTACACAATGCAGATATGTAAGTCTGCAAAGTGGTATCGCAATAAAGTTTCAAATCTTCTAAATGATGAGAACATTTTCCTCTAGGGAAAAGGTGACATGACAACATGGTGGCTGCAAGGGAAGGACCTGGACCTGTCCAAGAACGGCATGAGGCAGTCCATGTGTGAGAACACCATACTCGACGATGAGAGAAAAGGTGCTGCGGCCACCTGCCCCATCGCCCTGCCAGGTGAGCAGCCACGACCCTTCTCCCTGCCTCCCCTGGTCAGTCTACTCCCCCAGCTCTCTCCCATCCCGGCCCAGACACCGCCGTCAATAAGTAGCTGTTTCCCCCAGCCATTCAAGAGGCCCTCCAGACTGCAGCCCACTTCATCCAGCTTCAGTGTCCACCACAGTCTGCAGCACTCCACCCCCAGTCTTTTCCCTGCCTCGTCATCCATCCTGCCACCTCCCACGTACCCTGTGCCTCCTGCCCCAGAGAATGTCATCCACATGCCCCATTCTACCTGCAGCGGTCTACAGGTGAGACTAAATCCCTTACTGGCAGTGATCACGACAGATTTTTCATTCCCTCTTGCCTAGGGGAAACAGAACAGAACTTAACACTTACTATCATGAAAGTTCATCTGTGTTCAGGTAGTTACATTGTTTAAAGTTAAAACATGTGATCAAACACAGACCTTAAAATTTGTATACAGATTCAGTTACTGCAATTTCAGGGGTGTTTTTCTGAAAATATTTGAAAGAAGGTAACTCAAGAACCAGCTGATAGAAAGAAAGCATCCTTAGCTTTCTGTTTCAGATCTGATGATTTTGTACATTGCGTATCTGTCGTACCCAAGTACCAGCTACGAATTAGCCTGAAATCCAGCCTTCTTAGCTATAGGTCTGCTGCCATTGGCGGTGAGCAAATTTTTGGGAGAGCACCTATAGCTAAAAAGGCTGAATCTCAGGCTACTAGCCATAGCACCAGTTTTGGTACATATTCTGAAGGTGTACACACACTTTTCTTGATATTGTGCAGCCCTGGGTGTGCTACCTACATGTACCTAGTACATGTATATTGACAGTGATTTCTTATGTTTTATGTTTGTGCAGGCTCCATTGTCCACCTTCGACTGTAAGTGGAGCGGCTGCCATGTGCCAGGCTGTCTCTGTCAGGAGTGTAGGGGTCATGTGACTGACTGGGGAGAGGACAAATGCTGAAGCTGAAGTCACAAGTAGAGACCTTAGTTTGGACAGTACTGCTAGATTAATTTACTATATCTGGTATAGAGAAAAGTTGGCATACATAAGTCTTGTATGATATAAAAATATTAGTTGATCTAGGCTGTTCATGGGAAAATTTCAGTGGCAGGAGACATAAAAGTATTGTTGTAAAGATTACCTTATTTTACAGCAGATTATTTATAAGCTTTGAGTGATATTATAACTAAACATCTTATAAAGTTATAATTTTGCTGGTTACATTTTGCCAGTATTTGTATGAGGCACTAGTAAATTTTATTCACAAAAATGCATTGTGACTCGTAAACTACATAATTAGCAGATTATTTATAACCATTGAGTATTGTGTACTTATGTACTTAAAGTTAATATCATTTTCCTGGTTACAATTTCCTTGTGTCTCATTACCTGGATGTCTTTATGTTCGTTAATTTCAGTCATGGTATTTCCAGACTGTAACTTTAACTAAACTATAACATTAGAGTTAGCTTAAGCACAATATAGGTTTAGGAACACAACCAGAGATTTTAGGATGCATGTTTTTGCATAAATCTTTTGGATAGGAATATTGAAAACTGTAAAGGAAGACTCAACAGTAGAAGCGAGTGCACGTGTTCTGGTTCTGTAGAAATTCTTCTGAATCAAGAAAAGTATTTGTATATTTGTCAACTCAACATTGAGTTTGGACTAGCCAGTATGTTGTGTGACATGGTAGCAATATTCTGATAACACTCCAAGTAACTTTCTCAGAACATTGAAGACGTGTAAAGCAGGACAATTGGTGTACCAAACATTGAATATTTATTTGATCTTGCCTAAATTTGAAAGTACATACATCTGTGTTGGTAGAATTCATGATGAACTTAAGGACTAACTGTAATTGTCAACACAACTGATTGGACTTTTGACCCAAACTTTGTACTGTATGGCACGTGCATGGTCTTTGTCAATTTGTCAAGGAATATAATCATTATGAGTACAATATACTTTGAAACATAAAGTACTTTTACAAAGCTCTCCATCCTGTTTCTTAGCTCTTTAGCATAAAAACATACAAAGTGCAAAGTAATATGCAATGAACCATGCTTTGGTTCTAGCAATGGTCTAAAAGCGCCGCCTGGTGGAAGAAATTTAAAATGCAGTATAAGTAACACCTGTATGGCAGTTTAACACGGTATTCATGTAGGTCGACTGGTGATGAGTTGTGGTACTGCAGGCACTGGCCTCCGTCATATATGTCCTTGGTTATAAGAATCCAAACGTGGACAAATCTGTAAGTATATTGCACATACATGTACAATGTAGCCTTGACAGAGAACAAAAAGATCCTTTCCTATACTGTAAGAGGGGATACATGGATTACATTCACTATGTAACAACAAAACTAATACTTCAAAGTATATATATACCTAGTCAACTCCATGTTGACTCTAACCATAATACATTTATAATACCGGTAGTCTAGTAACTGAAGAAATGGTATTACATAATGTCATTTACATTTCTTCAGAATCAACCAGAATGTAAACAAACATGGCTGGCAACTGTACACATGTTTCAAGCTTTTAAACACACCTGTAATAATTGCCTAAGAATTAATTGCAATTTGGAGTGGGGTTGATTCAACTGACTTTGTATTAAAAAAAGACATGACCAGAGAATTTACTGTTTGTATCATATCCTAATGTTACATTTTGCAGCTTTAAAATGATGACTGATTAACTCCTTACACTTGTATCATCACTATCTACTGGCTTTAGTGTACACTCAAACTTCTCAGCTCCAGTGTCATACTCTACAGTGTGGTCAGTAGCCTGACCGTCACCTATCTGGTCCGTAACGACCACAAAGCCGCTCTTCAGCAGCCCGTGTTCCTGGATCAGCTGCAGGTCACGGATGTAACGGTCCTTCCAGTAGTCCAGGAACACAATGTCAATGTCAGTAACATCGTACTTCTTGGTCAGTTGAGGGATGACATCATCAGCATCAGCTGTGATCACCGTAACCTGGACACAAGGACAGATTAGCAGTGTTATAGTAACATTGCATTTAAGTTAACCTTCTACCTGTGTACAGTCATTCATTCTTAACTTACAAAAGCGACCACATGTATAAGCCATAACAACCGTTTTTTCTCGGCCAGGAGTGTGCAAGCACATCTTAAACCATCTGAAAATGGGCCAACAGACATTAAACCAAATACTAGCAGTGAGTGAGCTTGAGTGAGTTATCAAAATAGACTAATATAGTATGCTAATTTCAACCTACTGGTAATTTCCATAATAAATGAGACAAAATGAAAAAAAAAACTTCCCATAACCCCGAGCATTTTATGGAGGTATGAACTTTTTTGTCTATTTACATAACATGTTTCTTTGTTTGAACCTGAATGACCTGTTTGAACCATTATTTAGCCTGGGTACCATCCTGGTTAGTTTACTTCCGCTCCCACAGTCACTACTAGTTGGTCGGTAGCGACTGTGGGAGCGGACATAAACTAACCAGGATGGTACCCAGGCTATTCTTTATTCAAGAGAGGCTCAAATCGGCCTGTAGGCCGCTTTTTATTGAGGTCGTGAGGAAGAGGTAATACTACAATACTACTGCAATTGGAGAAAAGTGATATTTACTCTTAAGTCTTATCTAGAAAATGAAAGAAACATGATATCTCCTACTGGGTCATGAATATCAGCAGTTGAATATGATAGAAAAGTGTCACCTTGTCTTGAAGCCCGGCCAGTTGGACCATCTCCTCTGCCACCTTGGCAAGTTGAGGGTTGGGCTCCAGAGTCAGTAAGCGTGCTCCTGGGGACAACAGCCGGCCAATCCGCACAGCCGTGTAACCGTAGGACGTCCCCATCTCCAGACACACCCGCGGCTTGGTGTCACGGATCGTGCCGTCTAACATTTCCCCTGAAAATGCATACATGGAAATTGCACTTAATATCAGTAAATTCATCTGTTTCTTTGGAATTTTGCATGTAGGTGGGAAAGGGTGTTTTGCAAATTGGTGCCTTACGTTTGCAGTAGTTATACAATGGAAACACAGATTTGTGATGTCATGATTTTGAATCAGTTCAATATAATAGCTACAAACATTTCAAGCTCTACAATATATTAAAAATTTGTATTATCTATACATTCATAGGATAAATTGTCATATAGAAAGTTATGTGTGAATCACTTTTGCCACTTGCCAGGTAGCAAATTTGGTCACCAATATCTTTTGGCAGAAATTTCATTTATTATATTCCACCACTTTTGCAATACCTGGTGATACGTTTTTGATCCCCACGTGTGTTCCTTAGGTGTAATCAGTAGGAAAATAATCTAGAAATTACAGGGTTCTCACCAGGATTTTTTCACAGCGTAGGGGTCAGGTATAGAAGGGCAACTTTCTGCGGCGCGAGTCGCGCACCGAGTCCCAAAAACATGGGTCTGATATTCTCCCATGTAACTCATATTAACTATTTATTGTTTATTGGGGGACAGATTTTGTTTTCCCTCTGTTATAGCTTCATTCTAAAGTTTTATTTTCATTTTTTTAAAGATTAATGAAGCTTCTGCCCCCAAAAAACACCCCTACGCTGGTTGAAATACAGTGTAGGGGGCTAAATCACAGCGTAGGGGGTCAAAATCACAGCCTAGGGGGCCCCTACGCTCAAACAGCCTGGTGAGAACTATGTATTACTGATGTATGAAATCTCATAGGAAAATTTACCTCTCTTTCCTGATGTCTTCAAGGTCCATTTCCGTGTAGTGCACAGGTTGTCAAATGTCTGGAGGACACTGTCAGGATCCCCTGCCACGGCGTGTTTCTGTACAGACATGTAGGAAGGACGCATGGGTCATTGATATTGTGGTACCATGAAAGTTCTTCTGTGTTGGTTAAGAAATTGCAGTAAATGACAGATTTCCTCATCCAGGATATTTTTGTTTTGCTATGCCGAAATTGCTTTGGATGTCTAAAAATACCGGTAACTCCCTTAAGGTAGGTTATAACTACCAAGTACCTTGACATGCTGCAGTACCAGTTCCTCCCACTTGGTGGTGCCAAAAACCTTCTCCAACATTGGAACCAGGACAGGACCCCATCTCTTAGTGATGTAGGCCTTGACCAGGCGGATGAGAACAATAATGGCCAGTGCCGTCCCCAGGTAGGACCAATTCATCTTCACCTGCAGGAACATCCACACATTCTGTCATCTTTCACTATTTTGGGTCAGTCTGTGTGTAACCTGCATTGTAATCATCTGATACCTGGTACTTAATATGCGTAGGTCTTGTAGGTTGATTTTTGGGCACGCTAGCAGCTTTTGTTTCTGTTTTTTTTATACCCTATGTTGGGAGCCAGACTCATAAGATGGCTAGCAGAGAATCTATGTGCATGCGGTAGAGTGGCAGCATGTCCAAGACTCACGCCCCTCCCCAGATGTGGGTACTGCCGACCAAGAGGCACTGTTGTCCTAATGTTTGTTGACAAATCCATTTTTCCTTCTGGGGTAAACAGATGCCCCTGGTACCTGCATAGGGGACAACCTACTTCTGGGCACAAACAGGTTTGGTGGAAAATAAAACATATATTTGTGAAATTTCCAGAATTCCTAAAGTAAAAGATTCATGACTATAAAATGGACTACATGTATTTGGCTCGCCCCTTAGGCGTCGCCAAAAATACCTCCAATGGCGTTTTATCCTGCACCGGCGCGGCTGCCCTATTAAAGTACAATCTCTGGGGAAAATTATGTGGAAGTGAAGGCTATTTGAAAAGAACAACAACAGGGGTTCTTGGCATCCATCAAACAATAAACATGATGAAAAAATCGACGTCTTTGGAGCTGCACACGTTCCCCAGGGCGTTCGCATGAAACCCATGAAAATGTATTACCTTACAGTGGGGAGGGGCACAAAAATGAAACGTGAGCGCAACGGCAAACCCCTTTACTTTGGCCAAATGCTATTCCATTGTTTCTGCTTCAGGAAATGATAGTCACTAACCTCTTACCGGCCTGACAGCGACGAATATCGATATTGATTATGGAATATCGCGGTACCCGACTGTGGCCCAGGCTATTTTCAGTGCATATGGGGTCAACAGCTGACCGAGGCTATTTATATATTGGCCAAACATGAGCAAGTAATTCAACAGCAGGCGATTCGAGGGCACCTGTCGTCTGGTCTTGTACAGTGTATTGCATGCATAATTGCAAAATTTTAAAACAAGAATTCCACGATCTCATACCTCCATGAATACATAGAGCTTTTGTTAAGTTTTTGGCGACGTCTCAGGGGTGGAGCCCTTTAGTATAACATGTCCACATTGGAGAAATGCGAGGAATTCGACGAAATAAACGTCCGCGCACCTCGGGGTATAACACACGCGCGTTCCCGAAAAATAACCTTCTTGGAGAAGGTAATAAAATTGCTATCCACGCCATGATGAATTTTGCAAAAGCCGCTGAAGATGAAAACAGAATGCTAAAACGAAAATCTCAGTCTGGGTATGTCCACTTTCTGAGTGTGAGAAACAAAGAGAACCAATTCAAACAACTTCTTCCTATAAAATTGATACCCACACGCCATGATCAAAACCAGGCATGGCGTTGCCAATTTTCTACCACCGAGTCATATATACAACATGCCTTGAGTAGTTGTCATGCAACTTATACTTTTGAACAACAACTTCTTAAATATGATTAGTCTCGACATCAGGGACTTTTTATTTCTATAATTCAATCAACAACGCAAGCTTTTCAATAATCTTCCGCAGAATTACAAACATATAAATAGCAAAAAGCTACTTTACACGTCTCAGATTAGTCTAGGTATACGTCACCTTGGCCGTCCAATCGTCCCTGTGTTGTTTGTTGCCTCTAGCAGAAGAAAAGAAGAAACTTGCCTCCAAAATAGATCAGACTGGGTGTTGATACAAGCAACGGTGCGGCTTGTAGTGTCACAATTCCAGAACCAGGATTGACAGGTAGCTACCTGTCACTAATAGAATCTGAGACAAGTAGAAGGGTAAGTGACAAACTTTGAAAAGAGTCTTTTCAGTCTCGTGGATAGAATGGAATAGGATGTGCGTAAGATCTATTCTGAAGAAAAATGCAGCGATAATGCTGCTCCTGGCTTTTCTGCATAACTGTGCAACGTTTGATGGACCCTCCTCTCCTCAATGTGCCATAGCTCCGTGGTTATCATGTGTGCATTTCACAGAACAGATACCAAGTTTAAAGTTCTTAATAAGGACGGGCACGGGGATATGTGTAAAGTGCAGGAACGCGGATAGTGTTATCACTGAGAATCCCTTTCGTGTTGTTAAGGCCCACCCTCTGTCAACGCTAGCAGTAGCAATAAGAGGATATCAATTTGATGTTCTTTGGGATACAAAACTAACACCTCTTGATCATTCTGCGGTTGAAACTTTGGCGCTGATAGACGGTAAAATCACAGATGTAGAAAATAGAGCCCTGGTGGGGTTTACTAGTTTGCGCAAGTTGCTCTTAGATTTCAACAGGTTAACACACATCAAGCAGACCTGGTTTGCTGACGTAGAGAAGCTACAGTTGCTGAGTTTGTCCAATAACCTAATCAGGCAGATAGATCCAGGGAGTTTCAAGCACCTAGGTCGCCTTATCATGTTGATTCTTCAAAATAACTTATTACAGGCTTTAGACCCTGCCTGGGTTGCTGGAATGGACCAGCTTAAGTACATGTGCTTGGGGTGGAATGAAATCAAAACAATTATCTCAAGTACATTCCAGAACCCGAGGTTGATCTGTCTGGATCTGCGTGACGACCATCTATATCAACTGGACAGGGCAGCGTTGAGGGGTCTTTTGAGGCTGTCAATATTGCGTTTGAGCAGTGAAAGGTTGGTGTCTGTCCATGATGCAAAACCACAAAAAATGACATGGAGCCTAGATGTCTTAACTGACAATATTCGCAGTGATATACCTTGGTCAAAGAACTGGACTATTATTGTTAAGGTGCCCAAATTCATTTTCTGTTTTGTGTACGATTCGAAGCTAAAGGAGAACTTTGTTGAATGGATGTTTTATTCACAAGGCAATATAGGTGAGCCGAAATCACCAATCATTCCTGGCACATGTGGTGCGAGGGATCATTCTTTAAGTAAGATCCCCATTCAGCCACCTGTCGTTGTCATAGCTACTGATGCCTCCCCATTACGCAGACAGGAGGGACAGGGCGTGGTGGATCAGTGCAGGCAGGTGTGGGAACATGACACGGGCGTTACTGTTGCGATGAAGGGTAACTCAGTCTTTCAACTGGTTTCCACAAGCCTCGCGAATACATCCACAACAAATGTTGCCATGTCACTTGGCCAGAAACATAACACACGAACAAATGCCACCCGTGCCAATACAAAGAACATAACCTGTATTCAGTTCAGCAAAGGTAACTACACCGAGTTGCTCTTTGCTACCCCCGGGGTTAAAAATGACCTGCAAATGTCAGTCACCACCCACAAAATCAATACTGAGCAAGTAAACGATTTGACATCTCACTCTCAGACTAAAACTACAGATGAATCCTTAGCACCAAGTAACAAGTCTCCAACACCTCCCGCTCTAGACCACATGCTTGCTTCTATCTACGTTGTTTTATCAACAGTAGTTGTTCTGGTCTTGACAGCCCTAGTATCTGTAGCACTCAAGTTGAGAGTGACTCAAGTTGAGAGTGACGCACGTACACCGACTGCCTCTCCCCCCGCTGCGTTGCGTAGGTCATTTTCTCTACCTGTTCCAAGATATACAGATATGGCGGTCCAGGACGATTCAGCCTCCTGTATGTCATTGCCCGCTGTTCTCTGTTCCAATGAGCCTACTTATAGCGTGATCCCAGATAATGTAGCCGCTGCTCAGCGACCTCTTCCCGCCATTCTACACACCTACTCAGAAATTCCAGATGCTGTAGCCGCTGCTCAGCGGCCTTTACCTGACTTTCCACACACATACTCAGAAATTCCAGATGCTGCAGCTGTTGGTCATTTGGACCAGCCTGTCATTCTACACGCTTACTGTGTTATTCCGGATGATGATGGTGATGATAAAGGATCTAATTCCTTCAATGCTGCTGCTGCAAATCAATCACCTGGTATAGGTTATTGTCCATATGGTGATACTGATGAGAATAACCAGCCTAAATTAGCATCTACACTGCGTAATCATCATCAAGCTGTAGCTGTCAGACAAACTGCTGTGTATGGATCAGATATAGAGGCGAGAGACCATCACAGCAGTGTATACGGGGCAGCAGCAAATGCCACAAGCCAGCAAACAAGGCAAGCACAGGGACTGGGAAGGGCCCGTAACACACCACGGCGTGCGTCACTCCCCCTCTTACTACCTAACACCTACTGGCCATTGGAGATCCCAGGGGAGGTAACTAGTAACACGACACGGCGTACGTCCCTTCCCCTCGTCACACTGCCTGTAAAACACCTACTGGCCATGGGAAAATCCCTGGGAAGGGAACCCAAAACACACCATAGCGCGCGTTCAACTCCGCACCAAAAATATTTTTTACAATACTGCTGTGAGATACTCCTTGAATTTTGCAAAAGTAGCTTGAATTTTGCAATTGTCGCTGAATATGATTATGAAAACAGACTGCTAAGACGACTGACTCTGAATATATCTACTTGCTGAGATTGTGAGAAACAAAGAGAACTAATCCAAACAACTTCTTTCAAAAAAATTTTACGCTCGACATGGTCAAAGCCAGGCATGGTATATTTTAGCGATTTTCTGCCACCAACTTGAACAAGCCATATTTACAACATGCATTGAGCACTTGTGCATACAGCTTACACTTTTGAACACAATTATGTAATACGGGTACCTTTTAATTCAATCAACGAAACAGGCTTTTCAGTGACCTTGAGTAGTATTACTAGCATATAACTATCACCTTTTAATTCAATCAACGAAACAGGCTTTTCAGTGACCTTGAGTAGTATTACTAGCATATAACTATCATGAGCAAAAGGCCACTTTACACGTATTAGATTGGTCTCTGTACTAATAAGTTTTGCAAGGCCTTTGACAATACCAGAAATCATTCCAATATTTGATACCTCAAATAGTGTCCTTGAGTTGTTTGGGTATTAATGAGTTTTGCAAGGCCTTTGACAATACCTGAAATCATCCGAATTGATACGTCAAAAGTGTCCTTGAGTTGTTTGTTGCCTCTAGCATAACATGATATAAAGGAGCAAGTTGCCTCCGAAATAGATGAATGTTGATACAGGCAACGGTGCGGTTTATAGTGTAAACCATATTCCCGAACCAGGTTAGACAGGTAGCCACCTGTCAATCTGAGACGAATAGAAAGGTAAGTGACAAATATTTTCAATCTCATGGATAAAATGGAATAGGATGTGCCTAAGATCTGTTCTGAACAAACATGCAGCCATACTGATGCTCTTGGCATTTGGCCATAACTGTGCAACCTTTGATGGACCCTCCTCTCCTCAATGTACCATAGCTCCGTGGTTATCATGTGTGCCTTTCACAGAAAATATGACAAGTTTTTAATTTCTTAAAGTCGGGGATGTGTGTGAAGTGCAAAGACGTGGGTGGTAGTGTTGCTACCGAGAATCCTTTTCATGTTCTGTATCTGTATCTGTATAGCCGGTATAACCGCCCTTCGGCACAGCACACCAGCTTCGCAGACTTAGACGATGTTGTTGAAGCCTTCCCTTCTTCAGCTCTGGCAATACTGGCAATAAGAGGATATCGATTTGATGTTCTCTCGGTTGCAAAACTAGCACCTCTTGATCATTCTGCAGTAGAAACTTTGGCACTGATAGACGGTAAAATCTCAGACGTAGAAGATGGAACACTGATGGGGTTTACTCGTTTGCGCATGTTGCTCTTAGATTTCAACAGGTTAACACACATCAAACAGGCCTGGTTTTCTGACGTGAAGAAGCTCCATTTGCTGACTTTGTCAAACAACCTAATCAGGCAGATAGATCCAGGGAGTTTCAAGCACCTAGGTCGCCTTAACATGTTAAATCTTGAAAATAACATGTTGCAGGTTTTAGACCCTGCCTGGCTTGTTGGAATGGACAGGCTGATGCATATGTACTTGGGGTCAAATGAAATCAAGGAAATAACCTCAAGTTCATTCCAGAATCCGAGGTTGTTCTGTCTGGATCTGCGTGGCAGCCATCTGTCTCACCTGGACAGGGCAGCGTTAAGGGGTCTGTTGACTTTGTCAATATTGCGTATGAGTAGTGACAGGTTGGTTTCTGTCCATGATGCAAAACCACAAAGAATGATGTGGAGCTTAGATGTCTTAACTGACAATACTGGCAATGATATAAAACCCTGGTCAACGAGCTGGTCTATTGTTGTTAAGGTGTCGAAATTCATCTTTTGTTTTGTGTACGATTTGAAGCTGAATGGTCATTTTGTTGAATGGATGTTTCATTCATCAGGGAACGTAGGTGAGCCGAATGTCATTCACCAAGGATCACCAATCATTCCTGGCACATGTGGTGCGAGGGATCGTTCTTTAAGTAAGATCCCCATTCAGCCACCTGTCGTTGTCATAGCTACTGATGCCTCCCCATTACTCAGACAGGAGGGACAGGGCGTGGTGGATCAGTGCAGGCAGGTGTGGGAACATGACACGGGCGTTACTGTTGCGATGGAGGGTAACTCAGTCTTTCAATTGGTTGCCACAAGCCTCGCGAATACATCCACAACAAATGTTGCCATGTCACTTGGCCAGAAACATAACACACGAACAAATGCCACCCGTATCAATACAAAGAACATAACCTGTATTCAGTTCAGCAAAGGTAACTACACCGAGTTGCTCTTTGCTACCCCCAATGTTGAACCCACGATGACAGTGACCACCCACATGATTGATAGTAACCAAGTAGAAAATCTGACATCTCACTCTCGTACTAACACTACAGATGAATCTTGTGGACCAAGGAACAATTCTCCAGCACCTCCGCTTTAGACCATACGCATAGTTACATCTCAGTTGCCGTTTCAACAGTAGCTGTTCTGGTCTTGACAGCCCTAGTATCTGTAGCACTCAAGTTGAGAGTGACTCAAGTTGAGAGTGACGCACGTACACCGACTGCCTCTTCCCCCGCTGCGTTGCGTAGGTCATCTTCTCTACCTGTTCCAAGATATACAGATATGGCGGTCCAGGACGATTCAGCCTCCTGTATGTCATTGCCCGCTGTTCTCCTTTCTGGACCCGCTGAGCCTACTTATAGCGAGATTCCAGATAATGTAGCCGCTGCTCAGCGGCCACTACCTGCCCTTCCAGACACCTACTCAGAAATTCCAGATGCTGCAGCTGTTGGTCATTTGGTCAGCCTGCCATTCCACACGCTTACTGTGTTATTCCGGATGATGATGGTGATGGTAAAGGATCTAATTCCTTCAATGCTGCTGCTGCAGATCAATCATTTGGTATAGGTTATTGTCCATATGGTGATACTGATGAGAATAACCAGCCTAAATTAGCATCTACACTGCGTAATCATCATCAAGCTGTAGCTGTCAGACAAACTGCTGTGTATGGATCAGATATAGAGGCGAGAGACCATCACAGCAGTGTATACGGGGCAGCAGCAAATGCCACAAGCCAGCAAACAAGGCAAGCACAAGGACTGGGAAGGGCCCGTAACACACCACGGCGTGCGTCACTTCCCCTCTTACTACCTAACACCTACTGGCCATTGGAGATCCCAGGGGAGGTAACTAGTAACACGACACGGCGTACGTCCCTTCCCCTCGTCACACTGCCTGTAAACACCTACTGGCCATGGGAAATCCCTGGGAAGGGAACCCAAAACACACCATAGCGCGCGTTCAACTCCGCACCATAAATATTTTTACAATACTGCTGTGAGATACTCCTTGAATTTTGCAATATAGTGCTTGAATTTTGCAATTGTCACTGAATATGATTATAAAACAGACTGCTAAGACGACTGACTCTGAATATATCTACTTGCTGAGATTGTGAGAAACAAAGAGACCTAATCCAAACAACTTCTTTCAAAATTTTTTTTACGCTCGACATGGTCAAAGCTAGGCATGGTATATTTTAGCGATTTTCTGCCAACAACTTGAACAAGCCATATTTACAACATGCATTGAGCACTTGTGCATACAGCTTACACTTTTGAACACAATTATGTAATACGGGTACCTTTTAATTCAATCAACGAAACAGGCTTTTCAGTGACCTTGAGTAGTATTACTAGCATATAACTATCATGAGCAAAAGGCCACTTTACACGTATTAGATTGGTCTGTGTACTAATACGTTTATTTGCAAGGCCTTTGACAATACCAGAAATCATTCCAATATTTAATACCTCAAATAGTGTCCTTGTGTTGTTTGGGTATTAATGTAGTTTTGCAAGGCCTTTGACAGTACCTGAAATCATCCCAATAACTAATACGTCAAAAGTGTCCTTGAGTCGTTTGTTGCCTCTAGCATAACATATAAAGGAGCAAGTTGCCTCCGAAATAGATGAATGTTGATACAGGCAACGGTGCGGTTTATAGTGTAAACCATATTCCCGAACCAGGTTAGACAGGTAGCCACCTGTCAATCTGAGACGAGTAGAAAGGTAAGTGACAAATATTTTCAATCTCATGGATAAAATGGAATAGGATGTGCCTAAGATCTGTTCTGAACAAACATGCAGCCATACTGATGCTCTTGGCATTTGGCCATAACTGTGCAACCTTTGATGGACCCTCCTCTCCTCAATGTACCACAGCTCCGTGGTTATCATGTGTGCCTTTCACAGCAAATATGACAAGTTTTAATTTCTTAAAGTCGGGGATGTGTGTAAAGTGCAAAGACGTGGGTGACAGTGTTGCCACCGGCGAGAATCCTTTTCATGTTCTGTATATGTATTTGTATAGCCGGTACCGGTATAACCGCCCTTCGGCACGGCACACCAGCTTCGCAGGCTTAGACGATGTTGTTGAAGCCTTCCCTTCTTCAGCTCTGGCAATAAGAGGATATCGATTTGATGTTCTCTCGGTTGCAAAACTAGCACCTCTTGATCATTCTGCAGTAGAAACTTTGGCACTGATAGACGGTAAAATCTCAGACGTAGAAGATGGAACACTGATGGGGTTTACTCGTTTGCGCAAGTTGCTCTTAGATTCCAACAAGTTAACACACATCAAACAGGCCTGGTTTTCTGACGTGAAGAAGCTCTATTTGCTGACTTTGTCAAACAACCTAATCAGGCAGATAGATCCAGGGAGTTTCAAGCACCTAGGTAGCCTTATCATGTTAAATCTTGAAAATAACATGTTGCAGGTTTTAGACCCTGTCTGGCTTGTTGGAATGGACAGGCTGATGCATATGTACTTGGGGTCAAATGAAATCAAGGAAATAACCTCAAGTTCATTCCAGAATCCGAGGTTGTTCTGTCTGGATCTGCGTGGCAGCCATCTGTCTCACCTGGACAGGGCAGCGTTAAGGGGTCTGTTGACTTTGTCAATATTGCGTATGAGTAGTGACAGGTTGGTGTCTGTCCATGATGCAAAACCACAAAGAATGATGTGGAGCTTAGATGTCTTAACTGACAATACTGTCAATGACATAAAACCCTGGTCAAAGAGCTGGTCTATTGTTGTTAAGGTGCCGAAATTCATCTTTTGTTTTGTGTACGATTTGAAGCTGAATGGTCATTTTGTTAAATGGATGTTTCATTCATCAGGGAACGTAGGTGAGCCGAATGTCATTCATCAAGGATCACCAATCATTCCTGGCACATGTGGTGCGAGGGATCGTTCTTTAAGTAAGATCCCCATTCAGCCACCTGTCGTTGTCATAGCTACTGATGCCTCCCCATTACTCAGACAGGAGGGACAGGGCGTGGTGGATCAGTGCAGGCAGGTGTGGGAACATGACACGGGCGTTACTGTTGTGATGGAGGGTAACTCAGTCTTTCAACTGGTTTCCACAAGCCTCGCGAATACATCCACAACAAATGTTGCCATGTCACTTGGCCAGAAACATAACACACGAACAAATGCTACCCGTATTAATACAAAGAACATAACCTGTATTCAGTTCAGCAAAGGTAACTACACCGAGTTGCTCTTTGCTACCCCCAGGGTTGAACCCACGATGACAGTCACCACCCACATGATTGATAGTAACCAAGCAGAAAATCTGACATCTCACTCTCGTACTAACACTACAGATGAATCTTGTGGACCAAGGAACAATTCTCCAGCACCTCCCGCTTTAGACCATACGCATAGTTACATCTCAGTTGCCGTTTCAACAGTAGTTGTTCTGGTCTTGACAGCCCTAGTATCTGTAGCACTCAAGTTGAGAGTGACTCAAGTTGAGAGTGACGCACGTACACCGACTACCTCTCCCCCCACTGCGTTGCGTAGGTCATCTTCTCTACCTGTTCCAAGATATACAGATATGGCGGTCCAGGACGATTCAGCCTCCTGTATGTCATTGCCCGCTGTTCTCTGTTCCAATGAGCCTACTTATAGCGTGATCCCAGATAATGTAGCCGCTGCTCAGCGGCCTCTTCCCGCCATTCTACACACCTACTCAGAAATTCCAGATGCTGTAGCCGCCGCTCAGCGGCCTTTACCTGCCCTTCCACACACCTACTCAGAAATTCCAGATGCTGCAGCTGTTGGTCATTTGGACCAGCCTGCCATTCCACACGCTTACTGTGTTATTCCGGATGATGATGGTGATGATAAAGGATCTAATTCCTTCAATGCTGCTGCTGCAGATCAATCATCTGGTATAGGTTATTGTCCATATGGTGATACTGATGAGAATAACCAGCCTAAATCAGCATCTACACTGCGTAATCATCATCAAGCTGTAGCTGTCAGACAAACTGCTGTGTATGGATCAGATATAGAGGCGAGAGACCATCACAGCAGTGTATACGGGGCAGCAGCAAATGCCACAAGCCAGCAAACAAGGCAAGCACAGGGACTGGGAAGGGCCCGTAACACACCACGGCGTGCGTCACTCCCCCTCTTACTACCTAACACCTACTGGCCATTGGAGATCCCAGGGGAGGTAACTAGTAACACGACACGGCGTACGTCCCTTCCCCTCGTCACACTGCCTGTAAACACCTACTGGCCATGGGAAATCCCTGGGAAGGGAACCCAAAACACACCATAGCGCGCGTTCAACTCCGCACCAAAAATATTTTTACAATACTGCTGTGAGATACTCCTTGAATTTTGCAATAGTGCTTGAATTTTGCGTCCGTCCACACTGTCACACTACCGAGTACCTGTACTGGGCATGGGATATACAGAGAGAGAGAGGGATATACAGAGAGAGAGAGAGAGGAGAGAGAGAGAGAGAGAGAGAGAGAGAGAGGTGGACAGGGAGACTGCGGCCTTGAACACTCATGCAGACAAAATCAGAGTTTGTATTCATCAGCAGCGTATACATGTAAGTCTGGATATCAGGGACGATGTAATCTAATCTCTCTGTCAGGACTAATCTTTCCAACTGGTAATACGTCTAGACCCCACACCTACAGTGTCCTCGAGCTCTTCGTCCTTGATCCATGATCACGTTTTCAGTTACAATTTAACAACTTGAAGGCAAAAGCAAGTAAATTCTATACATGACATCCATGTTTGAATTGATACTGGTCTGATTTGAAAAACTCTTCGGCAAGTCAAGAAAAGACTGAAAATAGGAATTAAAAAAAGAATTTTGTTTAGTAGCCTTGATTTTACTTGTAATTTACACTAGAAACGTAGTCAGTTGAAGAAATGACAATTGTTTGGTAGTTGTAGAAAAGACACTTGCAACGTAGCCGTACTTACTGTACCGTAACTGTTGTTGTAGTAGAAGTAGCTTAGAAGTTGTAGAAGTGGCACAAGTGATGTAGTCATGAGTGTAATAACTGTTGTTCTGGAAGTAGAAATTGGAAGTTGTAGAAGAGACAATTGTGATGTAGCCATGAGTGTAGTAACTGTTGTTATAGTTATAGAATTAAGTGGAAATTGGTAGTTGTAGAAGTGATACTGGCGATGTAGTCATGAGTGTAGTAACTGTTGTTATAGTTATAGAATTAAGTGGAAATTGGTAGTTGTAGAAGTGATACTGGCGATGTAGTCATGAGTGTAGTAACTGTTGTAACAGTTGTAGAAGTGAAAATAGTTTCGTAGTTGTAGAAGTGACACAGCCAAGTGTGTAGTAACTGTTGTTGTAGAGGTGGAAATAGTTTCAATTGGTAGTTGTACATGTAGATGTGATGTCTGTATAGTTTGCGCCCCGAGCAGCTTGATCTGGAACTGCAGGATCGTTTATTGAAAAATATTAAGATGATAACCCAAGAACCGCTTGACAGATCGCCGTAATTTTTTGTATGTTGAAGACTTAAGTACTGCTTAACAAAATTAGATGGAAATTATATTTATCAACAACTAATTTGCATAATGAATCTGCTGCCTTCCATGATAGGACTATTCAAACTTGTGGTGTGTGATTAAGAGCAAGAACATCGCCATATATTGATAATAAAAACGTAAAAGACCTAATTTGCATAATTGATAAAAATGCTATAATTTTATAGTGGTTGAATTTCATTCTTGTGGCATTAAATTTTTGATTTCCTTCAAAATATTTCAACTTTGATGTGCTTTTGCTGACTATGATCTGTTTGTAAAAATACAGAACAAAACTGATAATAAAAAAGAATAAAAAAGTTAACATGATGACACTTTTCGTACCTCTCAAAGGCATATTGCATACTGTTTCTATTTGTTTGTCATGGGGACAGAATAGCAAAATTTTTGCCTAAGAATGGTGGGACCAGCAATGGAGACATTATTATAATTGCAGTGATCCCATTCATAAGCCTGTTGCTTCAGAATTAACCGTCCTTTATTTTCTGTATTTCACAGACAATAGAAATAAGCAACTCATGTCAGGATTTGCATGTTACAGAATTAGTACAAATCACTGTATATTACACAGCTTTGAATAGAGGCCCTTAGAGGGATAACAAAGAAAATGTCAATGTAATCAGACTCCATATCCAATGCATGATGTACAAAACATATTTGCTTATAACTACCGGTATTCTTGACATCAATAAACTATATGATCTTTTCATCATGAAGATTTAAAATTTGACCACCATATTTTCCCATCTTTTTAGTTATCTATCTAAAATTGTAATATTTTACTTATTTGGAGCAAGATGACATCCAACCCTGTAAATCAAGAATAGGAGGTTTCTTACAAATCAAACGACTGACTAAAATTATCTTGCTCAGTTGCATTGGCTGATATGATGTAATGTTACTAGCCCTCGGGCATTTGCAATAAATTTTGTTGATATTAATATTGGAATGCCCTTTTGCATACGTAAGAACAACTGGAACCTGGAAATTGTACTCTGTCTGATCACTGCCCTCTCCAAAATATAAAATCATACATTATTACAAGACATTACAAGAATAATAAGAATTACAGGAAAGTATCAGTTGATGATGAGGGTGTTTCTTTCACCTCAACTTGGGAAACCTCAACCAATGATAGCTTCTTAATTGATGTCATTAGTTACAAGCTAAAGTAAAGTGTAACATTTGAAGCAGATTTAAACCCTTGTTCTAGCCAGCATCTGTCTTTCTGTCATTTGACAGAATTTTGCTGCTCATTATGGACAAAACGTTTGCCCAATCCGTTATCATTATCTTTGACGGAGAAAAATTGGCATGTAAACATAATATATGGAAAGAGATGTCATTGAACTAAGCTTAGTCTACCAGCATAATTTGCCACTCAAAATGCAGGAAATATACCATCAGAGGCCCAAGATTTCAAAATTTTCTGCAGAACCCCCTAGGATTGCAGGGACCCCAGTGCAATGCCTCATGCTTATGTGATGTCAAACAAAACTGAGATGACCGAAAAAGATTTCAGGCTGGCTAGAACACTGATTGAAACAGATCAGATTTCTCCATGTCAGATATGAATCCTACACCACAGCATATTGAACACACTGCCATGTGTTCACAGCTTGGCCTTCTCCCTCAGCTGAAGGTTCTGCAGTTTCATGGCCACGGCCATGTTGCCCTGAATCTTCAGTTTCCCCTGGAAAAATGCCTGTGGAAGAACACAATCCAATGTTCAACACACACAAGTCTGATTTAAACAGTGCATGGTTATAAAAGCCAAGAGAAGCACAATGTACAATGGACATATCCTATTTATAAATAGTCCTCCATATATTAAGGATATGTTAAATCATATCACTTTGTACAGGTCTGAGTAAAGATTGACAATGGTTAAAGATATATGTTTTGGGATATATGGTTTTGGGCTTGTGAAGAAGTGGTGTGTGGGCCACCTTGTGACTTTTAGAGAACTGCAGGGGGTGATTTTGTTTGGGACTTCTACACTTGGTATAGCATGTGTTAGCATAGCATCTGTTTGGGAGAAGATCATCAACTAATATAAATTGATTTGCGCAATGAGAAACATTTACATCAGTCATAAAGATTAACATCATTTGGTGAAGGTGCAAGATTGTGGAAGTCTAGTTGCAGAGAGAAATGAAATGGTGTTATACACTACTGTAACATTGTACTGCATGTAATCCCTGTATGGTACTCTGTACTTACAGTCTGTGGGTTCAGTTTGCCAGTCATCAGGTTAAACAGGTCACCATCCTTGATGGTTATGGTGACATCAGCCTTGCCTATGGAAAAACACAACACATCAACCTTTACTCCTCATATATGGATCTTCAATGGACACATTAGTCTCAATTTTTGATGTTAATGATATCCAATATCAAAATAAAGTTCCAAATCATTTACTTCATCTTTTGACATCTAAAAATTGTGAAGAGCGAGCAAATTGAGCCAACCACCAGCCAACCATGTCAGAACCTCCCATCCACACCCGAATGTTGTAAACTCTTTGAAACAGCTGACAAGTACAGTAGCCGACCTTGCTCTTGACCTCCTGCTTAAACCATGGTGGGGAGACTTTTGGCTAGTTTTGGGGAGGCCAAACTAATGTGAATGTGTGACTGTGGCTTAACATACTATGATGACCCACCTGCTGAACCGAACTTGATAGACCCACTTCCATTTTTGGCATCCACCAACCACAGCCCCTCCTTCCCTCCCGGCCCTGACGTCACCTTGAAGAGGAAGATTCCTCCGATTTTCTTCACCAGAGCAGGTCCTTCCTGAGGAAGGAAAGCCAATGGAGTCACTAAATGAGCTCTAAAGACACTGAACATTTTTACATGTAAGACCACCCCAATTCAATTTGTTGCTTCTCAGTTATATGAATGTTGTTACAGTAGCATATAGTAGTGGTCACACTTTACTGTTATTTCAGAATCTGTGAACAATCATTGGTATTAATGCAACTGTTTATTGTAAACTCATGCCTGAGGGTTAATTGCAAATACAAATGGAACATTTGATATAAATACAAGCAAGTAATACTTATCTAGACACAAGAAATAAAGACTACTGTAACTCGTAAGTCTTTTAATATGGGCACTGTGTCTGAGCCAAACAAAGAATAAATAAGATTAAATGTTACAAATCTTGACACCCAATTCTATTACCTCCATTGAATCACATTACATGTATATTTTCCCCACCTGCTTGAGTTTGGTCTCCATGGCTTCAAACACAGGGGACACCTTAAAGCCATCTGCTGCAGCAGTCCTCACCATCTGAACCCCTGGACTCCTGTAAAGTATGCACATACCATATATTATATAATCAGCAGTTCCCATCACCAAACAGATGCTGAATAATGTGTGCCATTCACATGCGTAGTGAAAAATGTGTTGTACTATCCTGAAATTTCATCTGTGTCAACTTCTTGTTTAGAGTTAAAACTTAAATTTGTTCCAAACACAAGAGAATTGTTCTCAACTAGAGACACTTACATGTACTTGTTGCACCTAATGACAAATGTGAATGAAAACAAGACTGTAGTGACGTGACACCCTCTCCTTACCTCCTGTACTCCGGGAATCCGTGGCGATACAGTGTGACGACGACAGCACCCCCTAGTCCGATATTGTGTTGCAGGCCAAACTTGACACCAGGGACCTGCCTCTTCCCTGCCAGGCCTCTCAACTGCCAGGACAACTCTGCACACTGGGCCAACCCTTCAACAGGGAACATAAACACAATATTCATTTGCCTACTAGTATATATGTACTAGGCATATTCATTGTGACCTATCATGGCAGGGCTCAAAATACTTTTCTTCTTCAGGTTAGGTGCAGGTAGACCTCAGAAATACCTACACAAAGGTGAATATGAACCCTGTATTTTGAGCCCTGCACAGTTAATAAAAAATCAATTTTTGGCATATCCACTAGAACATGACATAAGTCATGAGAGTTACCATGTCAGAATCAAACTCCAATACAATCATATCACATTTAATGTAATTGAATTGAACCTGTACATGAAGGTTAGAAAGATTTGGGAGCAAAACACTGAATTTGAAAAAAAAAATCACCTACCAGTTGCCCCAAGAGGATGACCCTTGGAGATGAGTCCACCACTTGGATTTATCACATATTTGCCACCGTATGTGTTGTCTCCACGGTCCACCATTCTCCCACCTTCACCTGCATGTACACATCATGTAACAATGTAAAGTCACTGCTATGGTCCCAAACAATCAAAATAGCAAATAGTACAATGTACATGTATCTTGAGCAACAGGCAACTTTATATTCTAGCACAGACATCATCATATTGTGGATTCCAAACTTTTTGAAACAGATTAACTTTACGGAATTAACAAAGGTGCTTGCTCTTGACAATGTGTACCTGTTTTGAACTCTGTATTCATTCATACCACCTGTAGTATACACTTCTTATCTTATTCAGTAAAGGATTTCAAGTGATTAAAAGAATAATAAACACATTCTGAAATACTTCAGGTGTTGTACATGCATATATTTTCTCCGAAGTCACCACCCATGGTAAGAATAGATGAGTATGTACAGCTACATGTACATTGACCAAAATGAATGATTGAAGTTAAAATTTTTGTTCCAAGACATAGAATTATTCTAACCTAGAGTTTTCAACTAGTCACTCTGGTCTTCTTCAATAGACTGACCCAGTAAGACTTCTCTTGTGGCTTTTCTCAAGTGTGATCAGAGTGACTGGTTGAAAGCTCTAGGTTAGAGCAATTCTTTGTGTTGGAACAAAAATTTGAACCTTAAACACAAACTTTGGCCACTGTAGCTGTAGATACTCATACAGGTGATCTTTCATGAGACCGAAGTATAGTTCTAGTTCAGGCAGGACCTGACAGCTTACCCTCAGCACACAGCCCCAGGGCTTCATAGGTCAGGAGTTCATTGGGAGCAAAACAGTCATGCAGCTCCACCACCTGGACATCAGATGGCTGCACATGGGTCTTCTCAAACAGCTTCTGGGCTGCCGCTTTGGTCATGTCATATCCGACCTGGAGGTAAAATCATATACAGTGCCTCAGGCCATACAAGAACAGACTTTTATTACAGTGCTAGCTAATATGAAGTTAGGAATGTAGAATTACATGATCTCTACCAAGTGGTTATGCAAAAATAATTGCATATCAGAATACTATATCCAAGGAGCTTGAAATGATTTCTAAGCTCCTTGCTTTATCTATAAATTATGACATTCACATGTAGCAAAAGAATCAAAGACCTGGTAGTAGTTCTGCTGCAGTAAAAAAGAAAACCACCAGGAGGTGCATAGTGCATCTTGACTTTCATCTTCCAATCCCAAGATATACCATCATACAAAACATCACAACCATTTGGTATAGACTTAATCCCTGGAGCACAGCTCTTGTGACTGTCTCAGGAGAACATCCCATAGATGCTATATTGGATTTATATTTCATTCAACGGCTTACCATCTTAATGCAACTGTTCTCGTCAAAGGTGCTGGGCAGGTCAGTGGCCATCGCCATCCCAAATATCTCCACAGCCTGAGCCTGGAGGTTGTGCTTCTTCACAAAGTCTTCACTGCACAACACGGCTGCAGCACTGCCGTCAGACGTGGGACTAAACACAAACATCAAAACATAACAATGAATGATAACATATACAAAGCAAATGCACAATGTTTACCTTCACATGGTTTAGCTATAAACTACACTCTGTTTATTCTTACCAAAACACATTCATGTACATGTATAGGGTGACCAGCCCCTCCAGCTCTGTCCTGCTACATAATGTAATCCAACACCACAGGGTGTTTGGAACAGCACCAGTTGCATGATGATAGACATCTGGTCCAGGTCATTGACCTTTCATGTTTGGAGAAGATGTTTTTGGAAATGTTTTCCTTCTGCGAAATGGCAATTGAAGAAAGGCAGTTGCCTCAATATACATGTACATGTACATGTACAGGAAATTGCTCTCATATCAATTATGATGCCATTAAAGCCCTGGTCACAAATGACAAATGATTTACTTGGAAGTAACAACACATCTTTCACCTACAAGGGAGAAAAACACAATCATATATATATCTCAAGTAGAACAAGTTTTTACTTACGAGCATTGCAGCCTTGTTAGACTGACAGGCTCGAACACCATCTTGGACTTCTTGATCTCATCAATGCTGTACTCTTTCTGGAACTGGGCATACCTGTAAACAAGTAATGTGCAGAGAAATGTTGACTTGAAATTTGTAAGAAATTGGACAAAAGTGCAGCAGTGTGTACACTATGGTTACATACTAGCCTAAGGGTGCTATACCTAAGACTTTCAATGACATTTAGACAAACTTACGGATTGTTGACAGAATGTCTGTGGTTCTTCATGGCAATCTTGGCAAAGTGTTCTGGAGTAGATCCTGTCAAGAAAAGAATGCACAAAAGATTACTTTCACTTTACTGACACTCACTCTTTCACTCACTCAATCACTCATTCACTCACTCATAACCGCATGTAATATTCTTTGATATAAAATAAATCATAATAGAGTGGTCAACAAAAATACTGGTGAATTTTTTTAGACTTTTAAATTTCCTTTTTACTTGAGGTACATTTTCCCAAGATTTGGGCACATGAGTTGTTTTGCACCTGACAACATGACTATGAAGTGAGGATAAATGCTGACTCACCATATTTCAGGTTGTGCTCCCTGCCGGCGTTACCAAACATCTGTGGTGTGAGGGGGTCGTTTGTGATGCCGTACTTCTGGGCCATCACCTTCACATGTTTCCCCATGGGACTGGTCCGATCAGGAAACTAGTCATGGGAACAAAGTACATGTATCAGTGTCGATTACAACTTATATTTTACATCGTACCGATGAGAATATGTCCATGAAGGTTAGACATCCAGGTATTATTAATGAAATAGGATACACTAAAAATAATTACTCAATTATACAAATATGATTTTGGAAACAGTCAAAATCATATTACATAGCAAGCTGAGCTGAGATGAGTCACAGATGAAATAACATTAAGAATTCAAAGTACCTTTGAAGTGAGCGAGCCAGGCTCCATCTTCTCAAAACCTAAGGCCAAGGCACAGTCAACCAGACCTGTAGTGCCAAAACAATACAGGAAAAGGTCTATTATTCCTTTGGAACTTCAGTGGCTATTGGTTGTGTTTGTAAAGACAAAATATAGTACGTACATGGCTTGTCGCTGGCTACCGTGGAGGACAGTAAGAAGCCAGCAGGAACTACAATTAGTCTGATTCAGAAGTAAATATGTAACATTTTCACTGACCTCCCTCTACCAGCTGTTTGGCAATCATGAGAGCTGAGGATCCAGTAGCACAGGCGTTGTTTACCTGGAGATCAAGACATAAATACTAGTCATGACTGATAAACAATAAAAAATCACAATAAACAATAAAATGAGTACCTAGCTTCTGTTAGGGATGTCCCTTGGATAGGATGTTAAATGGAGGCCCCATGTTAGGAGAGCCACACCCCACACATGTTAAAGAACCCATCACACCTTTCGAAAAAGATATTTTAAATATACATGTACATGTATATCGAAGGGCTTACTCACATTGTAGATCGGTACCCCTGTCAGGCCAAGTTGGTATACAGCCTTTTGTCCACAAGTTGTGTCTCCTGAACAAAACCCACACAGTTTACTTGGCAGCGGAAGTTAGGCCTTTAAGTAAGTTTGCAGTTTTAGGCAAATGAAAAATTTGATCAAATGCAAATCAATTTGCCGAGCGGCGAGTACTGTTACGCATGGCAATCAAGAAATAGAAGTGTTCAAAGCAATGCATCCCTTAATCACTTCCTCATCTTACGAAATTATGTGAGATGTAGTTGATTTCTAGATATTTTGTTGGTATCGTTTAGGAAGACAAACTTACCGTATACATATCCTACAACTGCCTGCTGGACATCTTTGTATGAAATTCCAGCATCAGCCAGTGCCTTGCTTCCTGGAACAACAATAATCTTCTTTTACAAACAGATCCTGTCCATAATGCTACAATCATGAATATACACATAGACATGGTTAAAGCCAAAAAGTACCAAGGGCCACTCTTGTGATTGGGAAAGATCTTGTAAAAATTTCTTTAACTTTTAATTAAGGTAAGCACAACAAGTGCTTCCTATCTAATGCTCAAAAATCCATGTGAATAAAATAAAAAAATAAAATAAACTATTAAGGTACAATTTAAGGTAACGTTACATCTTGTAAGGTCCAATCCACACAGTCAAATACTAGTATGGTATATACTAGTCTCATCTTTTTGTGATTTTTTTGTGTGCAAATACTACACGCAAAATCAGAATATCATACCTGCCTCCCTGGCCATATCAGGGTAGTCAAAGTCTTGTCGGCGACCAGGTTTCTCAAACTGAAATGAAGACAAACTAGAGTCATTCACAAAGGTAAACAGTTGTGCTCAACTAAAGGCACTTCTAGCTACACCCAGGCTCTAGTCATCAAGTGAGAGAGAACATTGACACAAACCTGAACCAAATAAAACTCAGCATCTAACAGAGATCATCCAGCAAGCAAGCAAGGACAACAGCAACAGCCTTTCCTGAATGTCATCCATATGGGGTAAGTCACTTAGCCTGAGTGTCAGCCTTGTTAGCTTTCGTCCGCTACCCAAGGTCCGCTCCCCGGCAACGCTTGTTGGCGGGGAGCGGACCTTGGGTAGCGGACGAAAGCTAACAAGGCTGACACTCAGGCTTTAAGTCACTACTAAGTGTCGACAGAATTATTGTGGGTCATGGATACTGCTTGTCCAAGTTGCTACTGTCTTGTAGCCACCAAAAGATCTACTTGGAGATTAACCTTATCATTATATAATACCATTACGGAATGCCTGCCTTGTCTGTTTTGACGTGACCAGTAGGTCATTGACCCCACTCTGCCCAGACAAGTTCCCAGCTAAACTAGCTACCATAAGCTAACTGGCTTCAACATGCAGTTGTGAAACATAACCATATTGCATTTTGAACCGAGCTCTCCCTATGACCTAATCTGAATTCACTTTGTTGAATTTATACGGCGACTATCATGTACAGCCTTAGCGAACTTTGCAAGCTTTGCGAACTTTGCTCTCGGTTGCGCAAGGCTATCGCTCCCGATCTCCAGAAAATGCGTTCTGACGAGCACAAGCGTAACTGGTTGGTAAAATTTGCTATTTCAAAACACTTGACTAGATCTCCCTTTGCCTACAGTGACTCTATATCGAGCTGACAAAGACTCAGGACGGAGAAATTGCCCGCGAACCTTGGTCATGCCGACTCCGACGACAAAAACTCTCCTGCTGGCAGCCATCTTGGTCCAGGGGTCACGGTCCCGCGGGTCAAACTCCCGGATGTGCGACCTTCCAGCTACGCATACGGACTAGATTTGTATCCCTCCGCGTCGGACGATTCATTTATGAAAAATAATCGTTTCATCCTCTGTTGTAAAATTGAATGCACTAAATGTGGCACGGGAGGAAATATGTATCATATGTGACACATTTTCGGTCATATCTGAGGGAAATATATTAGAAAATATTCGCAGCGGAAGCAGAAATCCTGACGGAACAAGGGTGTAAATCGGTTGTGTAATTTTTGGCGCCATCATTGTCTCTTCTCAGTCAGATTCGGCGTTTTTATTTCGTTGTATTGATGCAGATCCACGCCGAATTCTGATGACCTGCGGATACGATCGTCGTCAGATTTCCGTGCTGTAGTAAGTACCAAGCGATTTCTTTCGGTTTAGATTTGTTAAAGAAAGCAGAAATGTGACTGTAGGTGGTTCACATTTTCTTACGATTGAACGTGTTATGACCGGCTGGATATCGAGTCGTCCATGTCCACATGAAATCATCAGTCTTACATATTTTTGTTCACACCTCCGTCATCTAAGGGATAGCCTATCTAAACAAACTATGTTAGGTCTTTATAAACACAATATTCATAATTTTAAGACTAAAACCCCCGATGTGTGAATCAGGTGCATACGTGCACACATACAGATTTAGGAAGTTTAGTCAAATTATTTTTATGTCAGCAAAACATGTTTGTAAGGGTGTAATTGCATACCTGTATCATGTAATTTGTACCATAGTATTACTTACTAACTAACTCACACCGTTGCTTTCACTGAATTATACAACTTATGTACAGAATTATGGGGTCCCAATTTATCATCATTTTTATTTGGTGATGATAATTTTCCATATTATTATGTATTTCGACATTTATTCTCTGATGTGACCAGATACAAGTTACAACCACAAATTTTTATGTCTGATGAGACAATGATTATGAAGAGTCAAGTAAAGTATGGGAACAACAACAATGTTAGTAAAGTAGAATCTTCAGCCAGCTAGGAAATTGAATTGCAGTTTAGGCTTCCCTCCATTTTGATCAATTCATGTGTTTTTTACCTCCATGATCAAGTCAAGGAGGTTCAATAAAAAGAATACCTCCTAAGAGCACAGAATTACCTTCCTTTATTTGTTCCAGTGGTCACAATAAATGTGAACAAAATACTAGTAATTCACACCCGAACTTGTTAAGGCCTCTCATTTATCATTCGGGCGTTCTCTGTTTTTGTTTACATCATATGCATGCAAATTATTTGAAGACATATGCAAATTATTCATTGGTAGGCAAATCAACCAATTGTCGCCCGCTTCTTGGCTACCACTTGCTGGCTGTGACATGACAATCGCTCATATTGCAGAATGCAATTTAACCTCCTTGCAGAATGTCAATATTTTGTTTTACAATTACAATTTGGAAGTCCTTTTTGCGAATATATACATGTGTGTAATCCTCCATAGCCCATACTACAACCATCTCAACAACATCCCCTCAACAGTAATGACTATAATGCAGTATTTACATCATATGATATATATATAATATAAGTAGTAGGGATGTATAGTAGGCTAAACTCATGTTCAGGTTCAAGTCCAGAGGTTTAGGCTCAGGTCCGGACTTTTAATGGCATAATACAAAATTGCATGTTGATAGACGTTTTACAAGCAACGCTGGCAATTAAAAAGTTAATTGCCATAGAAACAATTATGCATTGTTTCTTGTATTGTTATGTAGTAATATAAAGACTATATTTATATTGCAATGGAAGAACATGTGGTTTAATGTACTTATCCAAGATAATTCTTGTTAATGCCATGTTGCAATCAAGAAGAGTTTGTTTGCACTTGGAAGGTTGATATCACAGAACTGGAATAAAAATTTTCACCCTGTTGAAGATGCCCCATGTGCTACCCTGGGATATTTGGCACCCCCTCCCAATCTATCTATCTATCTACATGTGATAACTGGCTGGTCAAGCCCCATCTGGGGCATTCTGCCCAGGGCCTTTGGCAATTGTGGCCAGTGGGGTGAGGGTGCTACCCCAAAATAAACAGTAAAAAGTTCTCTTACTAGTCTTAGCAAAATGGCACATTGATTTTGTGAGTCCTGGAAGGTTTATACCGTTGGTAAGTATTGTCCTGATGTGAAATTTGTAGCATGTGACAAAAAACAAAGGCACAGATTGATAACAGGAATCATGAAAAAAAAAAGAACTGTACATCGGCTTCCTGACCACTAACTTAGATCAACATTTATATGTTCCATCGTTAAGCTTGTGTGACGGTCTGTCACAAATTGAAAAATTCTTAGAAGTGACGGTCCATAGAAGTGAGTCTAGCAAGGAATTAGAAATTGTCAAATCTGTCCATAGACTGTCCATAATGTGAGCAATCGCCAAGGCGCCATTGCCAGCAAGTGGTAGGCAAGTGGTTCAGTTGAAAAGCAGTACTACTGTAGTAAAGAAAAACAGTGATCGCCCATATGAACTATCTGTCTCTTTGCCCCAGAGGCATTGCCAAAACTATATGTAAAATTATGTTAATATGATTTTAAATCTACAGCCATTTTTGATGTCGTTTGCTATGTCTGGTATACAGGTGTAAAAATGATAACAAATTTAATGCCATACATGATTGCTTGCAGATGTACATTCTGACGATTAGTGAAGTACAAAATAATGTATTGGTACATTTTTATGTTGCAGTTTATGGCAGACAGCATTTGGATGTGGAAAGGGTTGACAACCAGCCACTTGCCATGAACCAGATCCCTCTTCAGAATGGGGAAATCCCCAACATACCTATGAATACTCTGGCCGGCATCTCCAGCCTCACTGAGTGTAAGTCTTGATATGTATCAATATTTTCAATATTCCATTGCATTCATCCAGCCACACCACTTAACTGGTCAACCTGAATGTTCATGGTCAGCTCTCATCCCATTGGACGCCTTTGGCAACGTGTCAGGGAAGATATTTATTATGGAACTTGTACCTTTGCCAGGCAATAGTCTTAGTTACTATGGAAATTGCCTAACTTTCATAACTGCCTAACTTGATTACAGTGCTCACTTCTTTATACATGTGCTACTAGAGTCAGACTTGTCTAAGACAACCACCAGGGGGACCAAGGAAAAGTGGCCCTTTTAGAAAAAAGCAATTTGGCAACAAGACAAGACACGGATTGTATTGTACAGATTTCGACATTCAATAATCCTTTAATTATTGATAAGCATACGACATGTTCATGTACAAGACTTATATGTTATATATATGTATACCAATTGAATGTTAAATGGAAACACAGACCTGTACATAAGGGTACATCACATACATTTATATTTCATCTAGCATACTAAAAAAAATATTCATTTGTTGTTTGTGATTACAAACAGTCATAGTATAGCTTGTTTATGGTAATGTTTGTGCTTTCAGATACTAATATTTGATTTGGATTTCAAGTCCTACCTTAATAACATGAATTATGATTTTTCAGTATTGCCAGAGTTGCCTCTGCCGACACCCCACCCATCCACAGTGAACAATAAAAGCCTACTGTACAGCCAGCGGGTGATAGAAGAAGCTCGGCGACTGGTAGCCAACCCAGATGAAAATCTTGTTCCTCATCTGGTCCAAGCTTTAGGACAGACCTCCACAGACCACATGTAAGTATGGAAGACCAAATTACAAGATATAAACAAGTAATGAGAATGTGTTACTAACCAAGAGAAAGTGAGGGGTCATGTGGCATAACGACAGCATTCGGTTCAGAACCAAGAGGTCCCGAGTTCGAATCCTGCCATGTCACCAATCTTGTGTCCTTGTGTAATCTTCCAAAGAGGGTTACTTCAGAAACGAAGGATGGATTTCCATCATTTTGGGCTTGCAGCTAGCTTAAACAGAGATGTGTACAGTAAAATGTACAATGCTCAAGGTTGATGTCAATACTTATAAAATGAAAATGTCCACGTGACATGATATAGTTAAATTGATGATTGTTGATGCACAGTGAGCTGAAAGACAACTCGGGCAATGCTGAAGTGGAGGGTGACCTGCCTCCACTGCTGCAGGCTGTCCTGGCCTGCAACCCTAACGTGTTCAACCAGAGGACAAGGAGTGTAGAGCCCCACTCATCCAACCATGGAGGAGGTATTCTTCTTAACCATCACTTCAATGGAAAATTTTCTAAAAGAGAATACTGTTATTCACGTTATCTTCACAGTAACAAACTTTCATGGTCTGAAAAGATGGGCATTTGCATGGTAGCAGGAGAGTGGGAAGGAGAAGAAAGACAAATGATTTGATAGCAGTAATGATAAGTTCATGGTACAGAAGTGACCGTGAAAAACCGTGAACCATGAAAACATCAAGAATTACTGTGCTGCTTACTACTTAGAACAAAGATTTAGATAGTGACTTGAGAGCTAAAAACACAACTGAATGATACGCCGATGAAGGTAATGAGATACACAAGGAAATTGTAACTCAAGCAACTGGATACGTTTTGAAAATAGGTTTCAAGTAGCATCCAGTACGTCAGTTTCTAACAGAATTTGTAGTTAGTTATCCCAAAACTATGAACAGTGAACTGACTGGTTTACATTTTTATCCAGGAATTTCTCCTCGAACACCGATGGCTCCGTCTCCGTATTACCAGCAGTCACCAGACGGCATGGTGCAGCATTCTCCCTACCAGAGATCCCACACGCCCATGGCACAGCAGCAGCAGGGCAGCCCTTCTCCTTACAGTCAGAACAGTCCTTATCCACAGGGCAGCCCGGCCAAGTACGGCCCCCAGCCCAGCCCATACCCACAGGGCAGTCCCTCCTCAAGGTACAGGGTGTTTCTGTTCTTACATACTTATCTATTAACAAATATACATTATCGTATTAATGTGCCTATAAATCCTGTCATTCGGCATGTAAAGACAAAATGTCATATTAATTATTTGTTTGCGTGGTTCCATGCTTGTGTATGTGTCTAGGAGCATCAACTTGATATATTGTGCAAGGAGAGGAAATATACAAAAGCGATAATGTTTTTATTGAATTTTTACATCGCGATGCATTGTAGAAATTCAGGCGTTTCATCAGGGAAATAGATAGAAGCTGTTTACTTTTAGTTTTCTTATAGACTACGGACAATTTGCCCTTCTATTGATGTACTAAATAAACAAATAATAGACTAAATGCATTCTTGTGGGTAACAAATACCTCATAAACTAACCTAAACTGATGATGGTTCCTGTTTTATTACAAAGGTACCAGCCACAGGAAAGTTCTGCAAAGTACGCTGCCCAGGGGAGTCCAGCCCGACACATGTCACAGGGTAGCCCAGGGAAGTTCCACCCACCCACATTCCCCCTGGGTCACCAGCAGCAGAACATTCCACAGGGTAAGACATCTTCTCTTGGCCTGGGAGCCACTGCTTATTTTCGTTTCGTAAATGGTTGTTGCCATTTAAAATAGTTGATGCTATATCGCAGAACAGGAAACTTCAAGTGTATTAGATTGCTCTGTGGAAGCTTGTTCCATAGTGATATAGTTCTACGAAAGAAGCTTTCAGCGTGGAACTTCCTCCTGAGAGATGGAGCATGGAACAAGACTGTGGGGTGGGGTAACAGCAGAGCATTCGACTCAGAACCAAGAGGTCCCGGGTTTGAATCTTGCCAAGTCAGCTACCTTGTGCCCTTGAGAAAGGCACTTGACACGGCTTTCCTCACTTCACTCAAGTGAAAATGAGTATGCCAGAATGATCAATATCATGATTGTGGGCATTAAAGGAAACCAAACTAAGAAAGGGTTATTAACTTTGGTTGCTATTTTTCAGCCATATTTAGTATTAACTAAAAGTTTGACCCACACAGTAGACATCTTCTGACATTAACTATTATATTGCTACAGGTGTACCATCCAATACCTGCAACGGATACTCTGCCAACCAGTTCTCCCCTGCACCCTCCCCTGCTGTGGGCAGCCCGCCTAGTGCCAACGTCATGTCCCCACCTCAGACCCCCAGCAGAGTTCTGGGGCAACACCAACCTAAAGCCATTCCAGGTCAGTTTGTCTTCAGAACTGGGACTGTTAGAACATCAAAAGGTCCCAGTGTTTAAAGTGATATACCTTATGTGCTGAAAACTTTACATTACATTTCATGTTGACATATCAATGACATACGACATTTCTCCCCATTGATCACTTCCTGCAAAATGTTGTCTTACCAACATTTGCCATATAATGCTAATAATAATGATAATACAGTTGAAGAAATTTCGTTAATTAAATTTTACACATTTAACGTCAATCAATACTTTGTTGTTTTTGATTTGGCAGCTCTGTCACCAACCAGCCTTGGTGGGGGACTGCCGGGTAAGCCGGCTGCGGTGACCAGGCCGTCTGCAGCGGCCGCAGCAGAACCACTGCAGCAGCCGCAGTCGGAGCCGCAGCTCCAGCTACTGGAGCAGGAGAACCAGGAGCCTGCCGCAGTGTTCAGTGCGGCTCACGCTGCCCACCATATGGTACATCAGTGTTAGAAATACCCATCTGCTGTCTGCCTTTTGCAGAGACAGACATTTTCAATATTGTAGAAGAAAACTTCTTAAGCAACCTACAATTTTGAAGACCGAAAAAAATCAGGTTCGGGTTCAATGGTGTTTAAGAGCTTTTGTGTTTACTACTGACTCTATAATATACAAATAATTTGCATTTGTTTTTCAAATTGCATTGTAAAATGTTTGCCAACATGCAATTTTGTATATGCCATGGGTTTAGATCCGCACTTTTAATTGTGCATTTGCAGAAAGTATTTCCCTATTGCAGAACCAAAATTTTGACATTCTGCAATATTGCAGAACACTAAAAAATGTATTTCTACGGCTTGGTGCAGGGAGGGGAGGACAAGCCCCAGGACCCAGCAGGGCAGCCGGAGGAGAAACAGAGGCTGGAGAAGATCAAGCTGAGGATGGTGCCTGGTGGGGCAGAACCTGTGGTCGTCCTGGAGCCTCTCTCTCCTAAGGTAGGCTTTTGTCTTTTTTTTTGTGGCCAATATTTGTGCTTCGAAGTATGGATCATACTAAAATCTGTTCAGAAACCATTGCCGTTATTTCTATACAGTGTACTTTATGGTAGATAGCAGTCAATGTAGCAAATAAAAATCCATATGCACCTACCATATGTGTACCCAGTGCATGGAGCGTGCAATTAGTCATAGAAATATCTGCACAGCTCTAATTTTACCTGTACTATCCTTCATATGCAGGTGGTATTTTGAGCCCTGTGATAACCTTGCTCCTTTCTGGTGTGTTAACAGGACAAAATGCTTCTCAGTAAGAGCAGGCCTATGTCGTCTAAATCAGTCGACGCCCAGAGTGCTGCACAAGCCTTTGCTTTCGACGACAGCACTTCAGCAGATGAGCATTCGTCAAAGGAGACAAGGATCTCTCTCAAGAGGAAGAAAAAGTCCAAGTCTCACCGGGAAGAAAAAGGTCGTTATGTGCCAGAGGTGCGCTACAACATCATCAGTTCCCCTACGAAGGACTCTCCCAAGCTTACTCTGAAGGTGAGTTTGTCCTATTCTGCCCAAAGGTACATGTAGTAACACTCGTGCATGGAGTGTTACAGTGGCGTTCAGTACATGCACAGTGATATGGAATATAAGAGGTCATTTTGCTGGTAATGTGTGACAAAAATGCCCTGCACTTCCCCAAATGCCGCTAGGAGGGCCAAACTGCTGTCACTTCTTTGTCAACCCGGACCTATCTACCACTCAAATCTGGTGACTGCAGCATGTTCAGATAAAAAAAATCTAGAAGTTTTGCTGCAGTACCATAACATGCCCAAAAAATCTGATAATTTTTAAGTCTCAAAACATAAAACATAACATTCTCAGGGAAAGTAACAAGAATTTACAAGGTATGATATGTGTTCTAGAGACATGTGTCTGGTCTTATGATTGTGGAATGATAGGTAGAGAAAGGCTGCAAACTTGAACTTTTATAGTTTTTTAGCGTGGCACAAACGCCCTTTAGAATTTTTTAGTGTGGCACAAACACCTTTTAGAATTTTTTAGCGTGGCACAAACACCTTTTAGAATTTTTTAGCGAGGCACAAACACCTTTTAGAATTTTTTGTGAGGCACAAACACCTTTTAGAATATTTTAGCGCGGGGCAGAATTTATGGTAGTCCCTGAGTTGGAGACCTCACAATGGCCTACACTCCAATTTTGGAATATCCTGCTAATGATATTTATTTCTCTGTAGCTGTCTAGGACAGTGATTTCGCCCAAGACTGGTCAGCAGCTGAGGCCCAGTGAACTGCCAACACAAGACAGGGAGAAGTTTCTGCATACCACAGAGTCAGACAAGTCAGGGAAGGGAAACGTAGACAAGACAGTTCCAGAGATTATCCCTGCAAAGAAAGATCTTGTGGAGAAACCAGCAGCACAAGAGACTGTTGTGGAAAAAGATAAAAAAGTCAATCAAGACAAAGTAGCTTCAGACAGTACGCGTACAGAAAAGGCAGCTATAGGTGCTGCTACGCCGAAGGAAGCTATCACTAACGCGGAAAATAAGAGCAAAGAACGCACCGCTCAAAAGTCTGACAAAAAGGAGTTGAGCAGTCTACAAGACTCCAGTGTAAAGACAGGACAATCAAAGGTTGAAGGGAAGAAGCTAGAATCTGTGGAACAGAAGAAACTACAAGAAAGTAACCACTCTACACAAGAAGTACAAGTAGTACAAATTTCTGATAGTCCAACCAGCCCCAAAGTCCCCACGAAAGCCACAGTGTCAAAAACCAGAAGTCAGGCAGAAAAGATGGACACATCTGCATCTGAGGGTGGCCCAGTAGGCCCAGCAAGGCCTCACATGACCAGAAGGTCGTTGGCTAAAGAGACTAACAAAAGAGACCCAGTGGCTGTAGTAATGCTCGAGAGGCTTGGTCCTGGAAACGATATGTACAGCAACATCAAGAGCAAACGAAGGCGAGGGGGTAAGAGAGTTGTTAGTAGATTAATGATTTT